ATACCTTAGTAAGTAAGTACTCTGTAAGGTCTGTAGGCAGTCATCATTGGTTCACAGTGTGAAACAAACTGATTACTTTTATTACCAATATCACATAGCAATATATGGATTTATATACATGTATATAAATATGATACCATTGCTGGCGTTGTTGATTTTATGGTGTAAGCTTTCTACTATTTTCTTACTCTCGGGATTAAGAGCAACCAATTTACCAAAATTTACGGTAAAGAAACTCTAGTAATTATTAAAGGATTTATATTCTGCAACGCTTCATTCCACTCTGGAACACCTTTATTCATTCTTTATCTGAATAGGTTCCAGAGTGGAAGGAAACGTTATAGTAAATACATCCTTCAATAATTACTAGATTTTCTTTACCATGTATAGCTTTGATAACGATTGTTCTTTTTAATTCCGACACTAAGAAAATAGTTAGTAGAAAGCTTACACTATAAGATCAACAATACCAGAAATGCGGTTATATTTAACAGTGTGTGTATATATATATATATTGGTGAATACTGGTAGCAGGTTTTCTTTTATACATGTCTCATTGAATATGACCGCATATTCTGTATTAACTATTTTCTGGTCTAGGGCTTCTATCCCTCTAACTAGTGTTCTTGCATCAGGGTTTAGTTGGAAGAGAAGTTCTCCAAAAGTCATGTTCGTTTTCGAGGTGAAGAAAAAGAAGTAAATAACTATAGAATGTATTACACTTATTATAAAATTGCTATTATATAATAAGTGTAATACATTCTATAGTTATTTACTTCTTGTTGGGCAAATCGGGCGTTGCATAGTAGGCCAAGTAGTGCGGTTGTTGCTATTAGGTCTGACATATATATCAATTTAACTTAGTTTCATCTTTTCGTCCATTTGGATAGTTCTCAGTCATGCATGATACTGAACAATGTCTTTCGTTCCTCGTGGACACATTTTCGGGCAGTTGGTGAAATGTTTAGTGAAGTGGCTGGTGAGGGGAGGCAGACCCCCCCCCCCCCGAGCCTCGGACACGTGAGCAGGGGAGAGCGTGATGGTTTCCTTATAGTGGGCGGCGAGGATGGCAGCGGGGGACGAGGACGGCAGCGGGGGACGAGCGAGGATGGCAGCGGGGGACGAGCGAGGATGGCAGCGGAGGACGAGCGAGGATGGCAGCGGGGGACGAGCGAGGATGGCAGCGGAGGACGAGTGAGGATGGCAGCGGGGGACGAGCGAGGATGGCAGCGGAGGACGAGCGAGGATGGCAGCGGGGGACGAGCGAGGATGGCAGCGGGGGACGAGCGAGGATGGCAGCGGGGGACGAGCGAGGATGGCAGCGGGGGACGAGCGAGGATGGCAGCGGGGGACGAGCGAGGATGGCAGCGGGGGACGAGCGAGGATGGCAGCGGAGGACGAGCGAGGATGGCAGCGGGGGACGAGCGAGGATGGCAGCGGGGGACGAGGATGGCAGCGGGGGACGAGCGAGGACGGCAGCGGGGGACGAGCGAGGATGGCAGCGGGGGACGAGCGAGGATGGCAGCGGGGGACGAGCGAGGATGGCAGCGGGGGACGAGCGAGGATGGCAGCGGGGGACGAGGATGGCAGTGGGGGACGAGCGAGGATGGCGGGTATAATCGCGGACCCCGACATATTGGCATGCGTGATGACGTTTACCATCGCCCCGAGCACAATGGTGTCTATTGAAGGTTGTTTTCGCCCGTAAACACTGTCAGTTGTTCTCGTTGAATGCTCTCACCGACGCCCAATTACCAGTTTCCTTTTAAAACCTACACCCAGCACATCTTATAGAATAATAATTTAATAAAACGAGAGAAAACACCTTGATGAGAATGTGAAAATTGGGCTACAACTTTTGCATTATATAAAGGGGTGTGGTAAGCTGAAATTAATTTGCCTCCGTTAATATTACTTGCAATATGATAAATGTCTTTGTTCTTCATAAATTGTGAGCAAATAAAAGTAGTAAAGTATATAATAATTTCGGAAGTGATGTAATATTTGATAACAATTTAACACAACAATACCCTTGTCCTAGGTCAGCATGAGGACGATACTCTGATACAAGTCGCTATATAAAATCTTTCCAACCCGTCCTCGACTCAAGTCCATTACATCCAGCGGTCGACCCCACAGACACATTCATAAATTTTAATATGCTGTTCATTCAAAACGGGAATTTTCTCAAGTATAAATTAATGTTATAATATATTAGCATATTGTGCATATATAGGCATAGGTTAGGTTAGGTTAGGTGTTTAGGTTCTGTTGGCGATTATTTGTATTTGTAGTACGTGGGTGAAGCATTTATAGCGTTGTGATTCGAACAAAATTCGTCAGTGAAACACTTGTTCCGGATATGTTCGAACGTCAGCAGTTGTGAGTCGTGTGTAAACCGCTTTTCATTCATAAACAGGGGGTTTGGCGGGTGCATGGAATCACTTTTGGATCTTTGTTTGGAGGACGGGCTGAATCTTGCATAGCTAAAAACCAGCCCGTCCTCCAAACAAAGACCCAAAGTTCATTCCATGCACCCGCCAAACTCCCTGTTTATGAATGAAAAATGGTTAACACAACGACACACAACTCAACCCGTCCTCGGCTCAAGTCCATTCCAGCCAGTGGTCGACCCTACAGACGCATTCATAAATTTTAACATGCTGCTCATTCAAAACAGGAATTTTCTCAAATATAAATTAATATTACACACAGAAATCACAATAGCGTGATACATCAAATGAACAAATCCACAAGGGTCACGATGAGGGTTCGAACCTACGTCCGAGAGGATCCCATATGTGCATTAATCGACTATGCCAGGACATGGTTAAAAAGAATTGCAACCGGTTGCAACAAACAAAGATCCAAAAGTGATTCCATGCACCCGCCAAACCCCAGCTGTTTATGAATGAAAAGCGGTTTACACACGACCCACAACTGCTGACGTTCGAACGTATCCGGAACAAGTGCTTCACAGACGAATTTTGTTCTAATCACAATCCTGTAAATGCTTCACCCACGTACTACACATACAAATAATCCCCAACAGAACCTAAACACCTGACCTAACCTATCCTACGCCTATATATACACAATATGCCAATATATTATAATATTAATTTATACTTGAGAAAATTCCCGTTTTGAATGAACAGCATGTTAAAATTTATGAATGCGTCTGTGGGATCGACCGCTGAATGTAATGGACTTGAATCGAGGACGGGTTGCAACCCGTCCGTGTGCACGTGGGCGTAGGTGTCTGGCTGATGATGGGTCGAAGTGGGTTGCCAGGTGTGTGGGTCTTGACAGTCCCATATGCATATCCAGGCTTAGTGGCTCTCGGCAGGGGAAGTCCAGACATTTTGGCATTAACAGTCTCAACCAATCTGTTTATCCAGTCCACTACGGGCTCACCAGCCCGTGCCGCTTGGAACTTTATGTTCCCAGTGTCTGAATCTTAAACAACAACAACAACGTCTGTTTATCTTTGATTTCTCTTCTAATCAGTAAACTATAATAATTCGAATATGTTATACTTTCATTGTATATAAATTTCGAATATGTTATACTCTTATGTGTTATTAGACATTTATTTACAATATTTTTTTAATGGTTGATGTATCAGTATGTTTTGGTCACCAACATGTTGCCCAATTAAATTTAATAATTTTGCATATGTCTGATGAAAAGAACATCAAAATTGCTTTATTCATATAAAGAGAACATCTATCGTGTTGTCATATATCAGGCCTTATGTTTAGTAGTTTATTATTGAGGACGGAACTTATAGAGAAGTTAAGTTGGTGCTATGCATGTTGTAAATGTTATACAGCACACACAAACCAGGTACGTTTATATCAAGAAAGGAGATTGGCTAATTGTTTGTTTACGGTTGGAGGCCAGACTCTTGGGGTGAGCCTTCGTAACCATTACACGGTTAAAGGTGATTTTATTGAGTGTCACGGGAGGGGAAGGGGGGAAGGGGGAAGAACCGGGGTCAGTCTATACCCTCTTCACCAAGTCGGTGTATATGAAATGTGCCATCCAAGTACTCCACTTCATATAGTCTAGGGTAGCTGCACTAATGCAGATGTACCTAATGTGTTAATAAAAAAAATAGTGTATTCAGATAGTGAATTACAAAACGCATGTTCAGGTGACAGATTTGCATTCTGGGTGATAGAATACAGTGATAGAGACTGTATGTAGGGAAAATGGTTACAAAGATGATGGGAGACAGAGTTGGAATGTAGGGAGGTGATACGGAAGGTGTGTGTGTGGGAGATATGGGAAAGGGGTGGAGACGGATTGTATATGTGGGAGGGGGGGGGGGGGAGAGGGTGTGTTTGTGTGTGAGGGGAGACGGGAAGGACTGTAAGGGGGGGGGGGGGGGGCAGGTGACGGGTCGAGCCGCGGGCACATCAAGTTTTTATTTATTTATTTATACAAGAGTTGTTACATTCTTGTACAGCCACTAGTACGCATAGCGTTTCGGGCAGGTCCTTAATCCTAATATTCCCCGGAATACGACCCGCCAAATCGTTTAACAACCATTTTACTGCTAGGTAAACAGAGGCTACAGTTAAGGATTGACACCCAGTAAATCCTTTCCGGCCAGGATACGAACCCAGGCCAAACGGCAGGCGAGTGTCTTACCCCTACACCACGGTTGGGGACTGCTGTATCTTATGTATTGGAGAGTTTGGCTGTAGGGTACTGGGCCAAGTGCATTAAGTTTGCTTCTCACTAGACGTGCGGCCCCTGGCTTCAGTTTTGTCTAACAACTTTGGGTAAGACTGTGGACATTAGTGGGAAAAGCTTCAGTAGCAATATTAGTACTGACCGAGGCTTCGGTAACAATATTATTATTAATAAACGAGGCTTCATTTCAATAGTTTCCTCTGAAACTTAAAAGTAAAAGAAGAATTAAGAAAAGGGAATACAAATATGTAAAGGAAACAAAGAGAAAGTATATTGGAATAATAAAATTAATTCTATTACATTAGCTGCTTATTAAATTTAATTATCAAGTAATACAAACAGTGATTAACAACATAGTTTACACTATTTCTACATGTATACAGACTCGACAGTGACTGAACAATGATCAACTATTATTGGAGTATAAGCGACACGGGTTATCATAGTGATTTGCATTGTAAAAAGGAAAAATAAGAAAGGACACCCTCGTTCTAATTAGTTGCAAATGTTATATGTTTCGGAATGAAAACGGAGGAAACGGAGGCGCAGGAAACTCCATAAATACTTTACATTGTCAGTTACTGAAGTTGAATCAAGCAAGACAAAAAGTTGTTACATAATCTTTTTTTTTTATTTGATACAGGAAGCTGAAGCGGTTGCTCTAGAGTTTACATTATATATTGTTAATACAGCTGACAGCGTCGACAGTTCTCTCCCCCTTGGTCAGCCTCATCATGAGGTGGGCCATCTACATCAGGCGTTGCGTGGTATCTTCCCTACTCCTCTGCCTCTTTTTGTAAGTCTTATTTTCGTTGGCCACTTCTGGAGGTTTTCTTCTTTATCATACGCTCCATGATGGTTTTCAGCTTCGCTAAACGTTTCAGGATGTCTTCCCTATTTATAACCTACTTCAAAAAGGCCTTTCTTCATCGTCAGCAGTTTTAGGAAGTCTTTCTTCTTCATCAACTGTTCGGTATGTTTACAGTTTTCGTCAGCTGCTTCATTGTCTTCCCTCTTCGTGAGTTGCTTTAGGTCTTTCTTCTTTATCAATTACTTGAGGCGTTCTCTCTTCGTTAGTTGCTTCAGGTCTTTCTTCTTTATCAATTACTTGAGGCGTTCTCTCTTCGTTAGTTGCTTCAGGTCTTTTCATCAGCTGTTTCAGGGGATCTCCTCTTAGCCGCTTCCAAGGTCTTTTCATTCTTCGGTTTCATTTTACGATGTCCTGTTTCATCGTCAACAGTGATAGGCTTTCCTTCATCTTCAGTTGTGGTTTTAGAAGAACTTCCCTAATTCCATAGTATAGAGAGGTTCTTCCTCACCAGTGGTATCAAGTCCTTGCTCGGCAGCTGCATAAGAGGGTTCTCCTTCATTGGCAGCATCAGAAATTCTTCTGATGGTGAAGACTAGGGATGACCTCCTGCAGTGCTGACAAACACTGCAGGAGGTCATCCCTAATCTTCACCATCAGAAGGATTTCTTATCAGCAACTTCCGGAGGTTTTCTTTTATCAACTTTATGACGAAGTATTTGTATAAATTCACAACCCAAGAGGCGTTGAAGTAGCTTAATATATTTAAAATCACCATATACATTAATGGGGTAAGCTTTTTGCCAGATTACACTCTTTATTAACGACCTTGATATAACCAACTGAATCACACTATTTATCAGGATTAATTTGTAGGTACTTTGTAGGCAATTCATCCCATAGCTTCTGAAAGCTTATATTTTCCCTTGGCTCCCCGCTACGGCTGTGGGTCTACTATGCTCTAACGTCTCTTCTTCCTTCGGGCTCTCTTCTGTGCGTCTCCTCCAGAGCGTGGAGACTGTGACCCTTCCTTAGACGACGGGGAGCATTCTTGGGAAGATCCCAGGAGGCCATGAGGTGAGAGGCGGGCTTCGTGAGAGGGCAGCTCGTATTGCTGGGGCTGGAGGCTTGAAGTATCGACAACAGGATCAGAACTCTTGGATGCGGGAGGAAGCTTGTCTATAGCTGGTGGCTCGAGCTGGTGAGATTCATAGATATCTGTATCAGTTGACTGGGTCTGAGTAGCAGAACATCTGGTTAGTCCTTGTTGGCTCAGTAGAGTAGGATCTGGAAGATTAAATTTTGCTAGTTCTGAGGGTGACTGCTGTAGTGTGGACGTGGACTGACGGGTTAGAGTTTCAGAAACTTGAGTCTCCAGTTCAGATGTGGCTGTCTTTACTGAAGTGATTTCTGCTTTTGGTGTAGATGAAGGGGTCAAGCACGTAACTGAGGTTAATTTAGGTATAGGTGAAGTGATTTGACGTGAAGTAATTACGGGTGTGGGCGAAGCTACTTTTGGGATTGGAGGTGTCATTTTAGAAACAGAAGATGTCACTTTGGACGTTGTCATTGTCTTGGAGGTGGATATTACCTTGGGTGTAGGGGACGTTATTTTAGGGATAGGACATATTTTTCCTGTGGGGGAAGATTTCTTTGGAATAGAAGCAACCTTCAAAGGCGGCACAGATATTGTGGGCGAAGATGGTTCTAATTTGATGGATGATGACTTCTTTGATTCTTCTATAGTTTCTTGAGGCTGTACCGTTTCTTGGAGCTGCATCCTCTGGTCTACACCAGACTTCACTTTTGGTTCAGGGTCTTCCTCTAGTATGAGTCCATTTTCTCCTGCTGACTTTGATAGTTTAATGTCTTTATCTGCTGGCTTGAGATCTTTATGGGCATGCGTAGAATCTGATAGTGGTGGTTTTGAACATTCCTCTGATCGACATGAGTCGTCTACCACTAATTTATGCTCTGCAAGTATTTGAGAATCTTTCCCCGTTGGAATAGAGTCTTTGGCACTTACGTTAGACTCCATAGTTGTAAATTCTGTTGTTTCAATATCTCCCACTGGTTCTGCTGTGATCGACGATATGACGGATAAGGTCTCTTTTGGAGGTTCAATGAGCTCTAGGGTTTGTGTAATGGCGATTGTTGTGATACATTGGTCTGATGAAGTCTTTCCTGTGTGATGTGTAAGTGAGCTAGGTTTTGGCTTGAGTGGAGGCTTGGTTGCTTGAGCTCTGGTGGAACTATCTTTCGAATGTTTTCGTACTTGTTCATGGCGACTAGACTTTGATTTAATTCGTTGTGGGGATGGGGAGCTGAACCTAGATACTTTAAGTGCTTCTGTCGTGGATAACGATGATTTGGGAACTTTAACTGGAGGTTCTGTCATTGTTGATACTGATGCTGTACTTATTTTTGTTATACTGCTTTCAAAGTCAGCCGTAACTTGTGATGCACGGTCGACTGAACGTACACGAGATTTAACAGACTGGAGTTTTAGCGAACTTTCCTCTGCATCTAGTTTTGGTTTATTAAATCCTGGAGGAGATATTGTGGTTTCAGATGGCGGCACCTTAGGTTCGGGTTTATATGGCTGCAAATGTGGCGGAGTGGTGGTTGCAGGTTTGGTTACAGTGTCAGATGATGTGGGTGTTATTAGTGAAGGTTCTACTGTGTGCACATCTGCTGCAGGGGATTCTTCAAGGGATTCTACTGGCTGTTTTGTGGGTGGGACAGGTTGAATAAATTTTTCTTGGAGAGTCTTTTTGACCGAAGGTAAAATTTGTTTTTCCTTTGGGTCAGGAGAAAGAGGCTGGGAAATACCAGTGGGGAATGTTAACGTCTTTGATGGCGAAGCTGATATTGTAGATTTTAATGCAGGCAAGTCTGAAGTCAAGGAAGTAGAAAAGGGCTTTACTTTTTGGAGAACGACTGTTGCTGGAAGGGAATAAGATGAAGCGAGATCTTGTGAGGCTTCCACTGGTGATAATGGCGGGACGCCTGGCTCGGGAATGACAACTTGTGGTCTGACCTTTTTCTGTACAGGTGAGTGTGGCTTTGGTAATTCTTCAGGAGACTTTGAGGTTTTAGCTCTTGGGGATGCAGGTGAGGATATTCCATTAGGGATCGTCGAAATTGGTGGTTGAGGCGAAAGCGGCTTTGAGAGTGCTTCCGGATATTTTAATCTTATAGTCGGTTGAGAATGTGGCTCTGAAGTGCCAACTTTAATTTCGGATCCTTCCAGAACTGATGACTTTTCAGGCTTCAAAGCTTTTTTATGAGGCCTCGTTTTGTCTGGTTTTGACTGTTTTGAGGTTTCATCATGTCCTGGAACTTTGCTCGGATCAATAGATTTTGGAGGTAAAGGAGAAAGAGGCTTTGAGACACCCTCTGGGAACTTCAGCTCCAGCAACGAAGTGGTAGTGTCCGTTCCTGCTGAGTCCTGTATTACAGGTTCTTCTGGTATTACCTCACTTTGTGCATCGAGCGCTATAGCACTTCGGAGAACTCTTAATGGTGAAGCCTTTTTATGAAGCTTCCTTTCATCTGATTTGGGCGTTTCGGGGAAAGTATCATAAATTGGAGCCTTGGTAGAATCTACGATCATCGGTGGTACTGGTGAAAGTGGCTTAGAGACTTCCTCTGGGAACTTCAGCTCGAGTAAGGCAGTGACAGTGTCTGTTGCTGCTGGTGATTCAAGTGTTACAGGCGCTTCAGGGGAAACAATTTGGGGCTCTAATGGAGGTGAAATGACCTTTGATGCTTTTTTATGTAATTTTGTTTCACTAGGTTTAGATTTTGTTGAAGTTTTTTCAAGCATTGAAGCCTTGCTTGAGTCCATTATCTTCGGCGGTATTGGTGAAAGAGGCTTCGAGACTCCTTCAGGAAATTTCAACACCAGTAAAGCGGTACCAGTGTCTATTGCTGCTGAGTCCTGAGATGAATGTTCTTCTTGTGGTGCCTCAGGCATTGAAGCTTTACTCAGTTCAGGTGAAAGAGGTTCTGAGACACCCTCAGGAAACTTCAGTTTCAATGAGGCAGTGCCACTCTCTTCTGCTGCCGAGTCTTGAATAATACGTTCCTTAACTAGTATAGCACTTGACTCTTCAAGGATTTCAGGAGTAACACTTTGGGATTGTGATATTGATGGTATAGCCTCCAAAACGCTTTTATGAAATTCAGTTTTATCGGATTTTGGCATTTTTGGGGTTGCATCGGGTGCTAAAGTCTTGCTCGTACCTACAGTTTTCGGCGATAAAGGTGAAAGGGGCTTCGTTATTCCCTCAGGGATCTTCAGCTCTAGTAAGGTAGTGTCAATGTCAGTTGCAGTTTGGTCTTGAGTTACAGGTTCCTCTGGCTGTGGTGCACTTCGTTCTTCCGGCATAACTCTACGAGGCCTTGATACTGTTGCGCTATCCTTTGAACCCTTTTTTTGAGCCATAGTTTTGTCTGATTTTGACTTTATGGAGACTGTATAAGGTACTGGAGCTTTGCTCGAGTCTATAGTTTTTTGTATTAAGGGAGAAAGAGGCTTCGTCACTCCCGCTGGGAACTTCAGTTCCAGTAAGGCAGTGCCAATGTCTATTGCTGCTGAGGCTTGAGATACTGTTTCCTCTGGTGGTGCCAGACTTGGTACTGGAGCCTTGCTTGAATCTATAATTTTAGGAAGAATGGGTGAAAGGGGTTTTGAAACACCCTCTGGGAATTTCAGTTCCAGAAATGAAGTGCCTCTGTCTGTTGTGACTGAGTGTTGAGTTATAGGTTCCTCTGGTAGTGCTTCACTTGACACTTCTGACACAACACTATTTAGCATTGATACTGGAGCAGCATCCTTCAAAACCTGTTTTTGTCCCACAGTTTCATCTGTTTTTCCTTTTTTGGAGGCTTCATCGGGCACAGGAGCTCTGGATGAATCTTTGATTTTAGGTGGTAATGGGGAAAGAGGCTTAGAGACTCCTTCAGGGAACTTCAGCTCCAGTATGGTCGTGTTAGTTTCTGTTGCTAAGTCTTGAGTTACAGTTTTCTCTGGTGGTGTCTCACTTGGTGTTTCAAGAGCAATATTTTTTGCCTTTGATAATAGTGAATCACTTTTCGAAACTCTTTTACGTAGTTTTCTTTCATCTGTTTTTTGCTTTTTTGAAACTGTATCGGGTACTGGAGCTTTTAACGAGTCTGCAATTCTAGGCGGTAACGGTGAAACAGGTTTCGAGACACCTTCAGGAAACTTTAGCTCCAGTAAGGTAGTACCTGTGTCTGTTGCTGAGTCTTGAGTAACAGTTTCCTCAGGAAGTGCCTCACTTGATGTTTCAACAGCAATGCTCATTGGCTTTAATACTGGTGTAGTATCCTTAGAGATTATTTTCTGATCATCAGTTTCATCATATTTTGTTTTTTGGGAGACGGCATCAGTCACTGGAGCCTTGCCGGAATCTATGACTTTTGTTGGTAACGGCGAGAGAGGCTTCGAGACTCCTTCAGGGAACTTGAGTTCTGGTAAAGTAGTGGTAGTGTCTGTTGCTGCGGGGTCTTGACTTACAGTTTCCTCAGGTGTCCTCTCACTTGGTGCTTCAAGAGCAATACTTTTTGCCTTTGATACTGATGAAACATCTTTTGAAACTCTTTTACGTAGCTTTCTAACATCTGATTTAGTCTTTTTAGAGACTGCCTCGGGTACTGGATCTTTGGAAGAATCAATTATTTTAGGTGGTAACGGTGAAAGAGGCTTCGAGACACCTTCAGGGAACTTCAGTTCCAGTAAAGCAACGCCAGTGTCTGTTGCTGCTGAGTCTTGATCAGAAGGTTTCTCTTCTGGCATCTCACGTGCTGCTTCAGAAGCAACATTTCGGACTTTTGAGTCTGGAGAGTCATCTTTCGAAATTGTTTTATGTAGCTTTCTTTCATCTGCTTTAGCCTTTTCAGAGACTACCTCGGGTATTGGATCTTTGGACGCATTTATTATTTTAGGCGGTAACGGTGAGAGAGGCTTAGAGACACCTTCAGGAAATTTGAGCTCCAGTAAGGATGTACTAGTGTCTACTGCTGATGAGTCTTGAGTTATAGTTTTGTCTGGTGGCGTCTCACTTGGTGTTTCAAGAGCAATACTTCTTGCCCTTGATACTGGTGAACCATCCTTTGAAACTCTTTTACGAAGTTTCCTTTCATCTGTTTTTGGCTTTTTGGAAGCTACGTCGGGTACTGAAGCTTGGGACAAGTCTGCAGTTCTAGGCGGTAAAGGTGAAACAGGTTTCGAGACACCTTCAGGAAACTTTAGCTCCAGTAAGGTAGTACCTGTGTCTGTTGCTGAGTCTTGAGTAACAGTTTTCTCAGGAAGTGCCTCACTTGATGTTTCAACAGCAATGCTTATTGGCTTTAATACTGGTGTAGTATCCTTTGATATTATTTTCTGATCATCAGTTTCATCATATTTAGTTTTTTGGGAGATGACATCAGGCACTGGAGCCTTGCTGGAATCTATGACTTTTGTTGGTAACGGTGAGAGAGGCTTCGAGACTCCTTCAGGAAACTTCAACTCAAGTAAGGCAATGTCAGGGTCTGTTACTAAGTGTAATGTTATAGTTTTCTCTGGTGTCACTTCACTTGGTGCTTCAGGAGCAATACTTCTTGCTATTGATACTAGTGAATCTTCTTTCGAAACTCTTTTACGTTGCTTTCTAACATCTGATTTAGTCTTTTTAGAAACTGCCTCGGGTACTGGATCTTTGGAAGAATCAACTATTTTAGGTGGTAACGGTGAAAGAGGCTTCGAGACACCTTCAGGGAACTTCAGTTCCAGTAAGGCGGTGTCAGTGTCTATTGTTGCTGAGTCTTGATCAGAAGGTTTCTCGAGTGATACCTCATGCGCTGCTTCGGAAACAACACTTCGCGCTTTTGATACTGTTGAATCATCCTTCGAAATTCTTTTACGTAGTTTCCTTTCATCTGATTTAATCTTTTTGGAGGCTGCATCTGGTACTGAAGCTTTTGATAAATCTGCAGTTTTTGGCGGTAACGGTGAAAGAGGCTTAGAGACACCTTCAGGAAACTTCAGTTCCAATAAGGCAGTACCAGTGTTTGTCGTTGCTGAGTCTAGGGTAACAGTTTCGTCTGGTGGTGCCTCACTTGGCGTTTCAAGGGCAATGCTTCGTGCATTTGAAACTGGTGAATCACCCTTCGAAACGCTTTTTTGGTCTTCAGTTTCATCAGATTTTGAATGTATGTTTTTTGTTGGTAACGGTGAGAGAGGCTTCGAGACTCCTTCGGGAAACTTCAACTCAAGTAAAGCAGTTTCAGGGTCTGTTGCTATGTCTTGAGTTATAGTTTTCTCTGGCAATGACTCACTTGGTGCTTCAGGAAAGGGATTTCGAGCCTTTGAACTATCCTCTGAGACCTGTTTATAAAACTTCCGTTCATATGATTTAATTCTTTTTGATGCTGTATGGGATGCTGGATATTTGGCCGAATCCATAATTTTCGGTGGTAACGGTGAAAGAGGCTTCGAGACACCCTCAGGGAACTTCAGTTCCAGTAAATTAGTGTCAGTCTCTGTTGGTGCTGAGTCTTGAGATTCAGATTCCTCTTTTGGTGTCGCATTTGGAACGGGAAGTGTTTCTGTAGTAACATTTCGGGTCTCAGTTATTGGTGGAACATCAGTGGAAGCCCCTTTATTTAGTTTTACTTTGACGTTTTTTTTTTTTGCTTTTTTTAAAGTTTCACTAGACTCTGGAGCCTTGGTTGAATCAATGATTTTGGGTGGTAAGGGGGAAAGAGGCTTTGACACTTCTGCAGGGAACTTAATGTCCAATAAGGCAGTACCAGTGTCTGTTGCTGTTGAGTCCTGAGTTATAGGTTCCTTTGGTGGTGCTTCACTCGCCACTGCAAGTTTTTCTGTTGCTTCACCAGCAACAGTCTGTGGCTCAGATATAGGTGCAACAGATTTGGAATCTCCTTCATAATGTTTTAGTTCATCAGACTTTTTTTGTTTGTTTAAAGTACCATCAGGCACAGGAACTTTGCTCGAATCTATGGTTTTCGACGGTAATGGTGAAAGAGGCTTCGAGACTTTCTCAGGGAACTTTAACTCTTGCAAGGCAATGTCAGTGTGTGTTGCTGCTGAGTCTTGTGCTACTTGTTCCTCTGGTTGTGCCTCACTTGGTGGGGAGTTAATTTTGATTTCTTCCGGAGGTGTAAGAGGGACTGGTGAGCCTATTTGTGGAACATCAGATGAAGCTGTTATTTCAGATGGCTTTTCTATAGGCTCTGAGTCTAATTCCTTCTTCACGCCATCCTTCACTGGTACTTTCATTATTTCAGCTTTCTCTGAGGACTTCCTCTCTCGCTTATGTTCACTAGGTTTCCTGCTGCTTCGTTTCCTTTCTCTTCGGCTCACCCGTGGACTCCATGTAGCAGACGCAGGAGAAAATGGTTCTGTTATGTCTCCCTCTCCTGGCATTGTGAGCGGAGACGCTGCTTGTGTGTCCTCAGTAATCTCTTGTTCAGTTTCATCCTCCTTATGTGCCTTCTCACTCATATCTGTTTCCTGAGTCTTGTGTCTTGATTCGTCACTCTTCCCCGTTTTCATTCTTGATGGACTCATAAAATCATATTCACCAGAACTGAAAGCTTTCTGCTCTTCGCGGAACTTTTCACGCTTTCTGTGTCCATTGCTGAGTTTCTCTTTCCAGAACTCGTCTGAGAACTTGTCCTTGCTGGACCTGGCTAAGCCCTTTTTCCATGGCCCGGAAGCACGTTGTTCTGCTTGAACAGGCGGAGACACTTCTTGAACAGGCGGAGACACTTCTTGAACACTTACGTGCTCTTCCAGCGTGGCTTCGGTAACACCAAGTTCTTCATCTTCCGGTTCATCACATTTTGGTTTTTCTGTTTCCTCTTGTGCAACATTAACCTCTTCTTTTTCATTTGCTATTTTTGTAGCCCCTTGTTCCGGTTCCTCATCTGGCTGCTTAGTAGCATCATGATCGTTCTGTTCAGTTTCATTTACATAAGATTCTGGGTTTTCAGATGCGTCTTCATCACGTTCTTGCTCTTCATTTGATTGAACAACAACATATTTTTCTGATTCTTCAATCTCAGGTTGCAGGTCTTCAGTGGCTGGGATGATATCACCTTCTAATTGTTCAGCTATTTTTATGATAACCTCAGCTTCTGGCTTTCCAGCTGCTTTCTCAGCAACAGCTGTCTTCTCAGCATCAGTTGCCTTCTCAGCAACAGCTGCCTTCTTACCATCAGCTGCCTTCTCAACAACAGCTGCCTTCTCAGCAACAGCTGCCTTCTCAGCAACAGCTGCCTTCTCAGCAACAGCTGCTTTCTCAGCAACAGCTGCCTTCTCATCAACAGCTGCCTTCTCAACAACAGGTGCCTTCTCAGCAACAGCTGTCGTCTCAGCAACAGCTGCCTTCTCAGTAATATCCTGTTCTGGTTCTTTATCAGTTATTTCTTGAAATAGGTCTTCTCCTGTCTCGCCCGGCGCTTCTCCTTCATCAGCTTCGTCCATGGCGTCAGTGGCCTTAGGATCTTGCTCTTCCTGGGGAAGCTTATCACTAACATCAAGAAATATTCCTTCAGGGGGCTCTTGAGATTCGTCCATCACATTTGCTTCTGTTGGAGAAGATCGGGCTTCATCCATGGCGTCAGTGGCCTCAGGATCTTGCTCTTGCTGGGGAAGTGTATCACTAACATCGAGAAACATTCCTTCAGGGGGCTCTTGATATTCGTCCTTCACATTTGATTCTGCTGAAGGAGGTCTGGCTGCCTCCACGGCATCTGTGGATTGAGACATGGTAGTCTGCTCCTTGCTCTCCTCTTGGCGTTTGGTGTGTCGGCGGTGGTGTCTTCGTTTTTTGCTCACGCCTTTTCCTTCTTTATCTTTCTTTGGCATTCTTGGACTTGGGCTTTTATCATCAGCGTTCTTGTGCACAGATGGCGATTTTGACTTCTCTCTGCCCCTACGGTGGTGTCTTGTCTCATCCTTTCTTATTTTGGCCATTTCCTCCTGAGGAGCAACGTCTGCACTTGGCTCTCCAACTAAGGAGGTTTTTATTTCAGGAATCTCATATTTTTTGGTGTCTGAGTTTGTTGTTTCTGAAGTTTCAATGCCATTTTCTGTTTTATCAATTATCCCATTTGATTTAGTATCAACATTAGTGACTTCTTCATTGTCCTCTTTGGTCTCGGATTCTTTTGTTTGTTCTGGGTAAATTTCAGAACCAACATTTTCAGTGCTAATTAAGTCAGGCGTGACTTCCAAATGGGCCTCATCTTCTTCACTCCTTTTGACCACAGAAACATCTTTAGGTAGAGCTTCCGGTTGCTGGACGTCTCCGCTTAGAGCTTCATCTATTTGTTTTGTCAAGCTCTCGGACACAGGCATTTCCTTGGCTTCCTCTCCAGCTTCTATCTTCTCTTTTCTAACAGCTTCATCACTTATATCCACTTTTACTGGCACACTTACATCTTTACCTTCTTTGATGACTTCTTTTGTAATCGTTTGTACCTTCTTGTGTGCCACATCCACAGTCTCATCTTCCGTTTCTGCCACATCAACAGATGTTGCTCCCTTGTCTGCTACATCCACAGATGCTGCTCCATTGTCTTCCACATCCACAGATGCTGTTCCATTGTCTTCCACATCCACAGATGCTGCTCCATTGTCTTCCACATCCACAGATGCTGTTCCATTGTCTTCCACATCCACAGATGCTGTTCCATTGTCTTCCACATCCACAGATGCTGTTCCATTGTCTTCAACATCCACAGACTCTTCTTCCGTGTTTGTCGTATCTACAAATGTTCCTTCCTTGCCTGTCATAATAGCAGAAGCCTCATCCTTGCTTGTAGTACCCACCAGTTCTTCACCAAGACTTTCCACACCAGGTTCTCCATTGCTAACTGCTCCTGTTTCCTTTTCTCCCTTAGTCTCAGCAATACTTGCATCTTGTTTTGTGGTGTCCGTATTAACTGACTGTTGGACCTGCAGGCCCTTCATTTCATATTTCTTGCCATTTTCATCATCTGACGACTTTGATTCTGAGGTGATTGAAGACTCCTTGCTCCTTATGTCGTCTGTTTCTACTGTCCGACACTCTTCTTTCTTAGTTTCCGCCTTGGGCACCTCTTTAGTGCTTTCAACCGGTCCTGTCTTGTTACTGACTTTTTCTGGGACGGTGTCTTCCTTCCTACTTCCCATTCTTGTGACTCCTTTGATCCACTCTTTCGCCTTTCCCACAAGCGTTTTACGATCTTTTGTGGAGTTATCAGTTTTAATTTCTATCTCTAGTGCCTCTTGTCCAGTCTCTGTAATGGCTGTTGTCTCCTCATAAATCTGTGTTGCCCCTTTCACCTTCACTGCGTCTGACATCACTGCCGCTGCAGCCTCTTCCAGCATATTTACGTTTGTTCCTTCTCCAGGCTTTCCAGCTTCACATACCAGGTCGTCCTTGTTGTTGGTGGACTGTTGAGCCTCCTCAACGTGACCATTCGAGGCGAGGGAAGAGGCACTGTCCAGAACATCGGGCATCGACCAGTCTCCGGGGGCGTGATAGGAGATCTCTGAGTCATCTCCCTTTCCTTCACTTTTGGCTTTTTGTTCGTCACTTGAGGTTCCTGAGGCAGTCTCCTGTCGCTCGTCGACGCTTCCTCCACTGCTCTGTCGTGACGAAGATCCCTCAGGCTCAGAGGCGCTCTTATTCTCTCTCTCAGACTTTTTTTGTTGAGAGAATTTGTTCTGAATTTGGTTGATCTTGCCAGTAAGGCTTCCCTTGTTTCTTTTATCTTTCCTTCCTGATCCACTTTTTGCCTCTGGTTTTTCCATGGCCATGTAAACGTCTTCTTGGTCTCCTTGTTTTTCTCTTTGGCCTCGAAAACAAGGAAATTTTGGATTTCCCGTTGCAGCCTTTACTTGATTTTCCTCCACCTCCTCTCCTTCTCCTGGCTGATATTCAGGATAGAGACTAAAGAAATGACTTTGTGCATCAGCCTCCATGATGGCCTTCTCACCAGTAACCTCTGGCTGTTCCATTTCTCCTTCAATTTGCATATGATCCTCGCGGTCTGGATCCTCCCAGACTGGAGATCCAGCACAAACCTCGACTAGCTTTTCGTCCTTCTCTCTGGGGAACAGGAGAGAGTCTTCAAGCGCTCCTTCCGACAGTACTGCAGTGTCTCCGGATCCTGTCTTAACCTTAGCATCTAAGGCAAAGGACGCCTCCTCTTTAGGAGTTAAAAGATCAGTTGTAGAAGAAAGACTTTCAGAATCAAACTCTGTTGATTCACTGACAGAGGATTTGCTGGTTCGTTCCCTTGTGTCAGCAAGAGAAGCCCCACTGGGTTCCTCTGTATCTCCTGTGTCACTTGTTGAAGTCCTATTTATTCTATTACCATTATTCTCATTCACAGAGGTTCTGCTTACTCCGTCTCCACTGTATTCACTCACAGATGTCTTGCTATTGCTGTACTCACTAGCAGTCCTGCTTGTGCCATAGGTTTCCTCAGATTCGCTAACAGAAGTTCTACTTGTCCTGTCTGCTTCATACTCACTAACAGAAGTCTTGCTACACACTTCCATGTCCCCGGACTCACTGTCAGTTGTGGGGACAGCATCTGGTGCTCGGGTCTCAGAGAGTGACATTTCCTGGATGCCTGGAGATTTTAGGGATGTACTAGACCCAGAAGGTGATAATGTAGATCCTTCGGTACTTGCATCTGCTTCACCTCTTTCAGTACTCGAAGTTGTCCCGGTTTCTTGAGGGACTGTCTCTGTAGTTGTTCTACTCATAGTTTCAGAGTCATTTGATTCAGTTACTGATGCTGTACTCAGAGCATCAGGGTCTAGTGAGCCATCCGTCGAGGTTTTCCTGGCTCTATCATTATCGATTGAACCCGTATGAGAGGCTCTACTGATAGTATCTGCATCGGCGTGATCACTCATGGAAGACCTGCTGACAGAATCTACATCCGTTGCATCACCGGTGGAATAGTTAACGGCATTGTCTGACTCTCTCTGTTGTCCTAGTGAGTTATGAGCCAGGTCATTTCCTGGAGAGGAAAGATTCGACGAGAAGGAGCCTCTGGCTTCGTGAAACACTAATGGGTTCGAGTTTTGGTCTGGGGTTATGGCCAGGTTTGCCATCACGGCCTCGTTGTCGACAATCTCCGAGAGCGGGTTGAGCGTCTCTGTATAATTATTATCATCCTCGTCTCCCAAGTCACTGATCACCAGCTCTATGTCATCGCCCTCTAGTGACTGCTCCATTACAGATTCTGTTTGCAGGTTGATAATGTTGTACTCCTGCGTTCCATTGTTGAGCTTCTCGTTACCAGTAGATGTCTGGTCGTCCGCACGAACGTTTTCATCCCCACTGAGAGCGTGCTGACATGCGTCAACAAAAATGGCTGTGTCACTATCACTTTCATCATCAGATATAAAGAATTTGACGGATTTCTCACTGTTGCTGACACCCTCTGCATCAGAATGCAAGGATTTGTCTGCTGCTTCTCCATCTTTGTCTGGATTAGTCTTGTTTGCACTATCTTGAGACGAACAGACCTTGTCTCTCCTTCCACCCCTTACTGGCAAATTATCTATATCGACCCCATCCTCCTGCCTGGCTTCCTTTAGCTCTTCCTCAAGAGTCGTTTTACTCAATGGCTCATGGATCCATTCAGTAAGAGGGGACTCAAAGTCTTTATCATAGTCAGATGTCATTATGTTCGGTTTGTCCATTTCATCAAGACCATAAGTGCCATTTGTTCCAAGATTTTCATGATCTTTCAAAGTTTCATGCCCAATACTGTGTGGGCCCACAGTTTTTGTGGCCCCTTGAGCATCATCTATTTGCATGTTATCACTGGGTTTAGCACTGACTTCCTGCTTGCTCAAGTCACCTTTATTTTTGCTCACCGGCGTTGTCGTCGTCGCATCCTTAACCTTTTGATCATTACCGTCCTTTACCTCTTGGAGAGCACCACCCTCCTCCTCGTCATCCTCTTCACCCATCCTCTTCCTTTTGGCTTCCCTAGTCTTAGTACTTTCCTTCTTGAGGCGTTGTTTACCTGGCGCCTGTGGACCCTGTGGACCCTGTGGACCCTGTGGACCCTGAGGGCCCTGGGGGTCTTGGGAGCCCGGGGACAGTGGTCCTACTACTTTCTTCAGCTTCCTCCACCTGGCCTTCCCTCCCATCACCTGTGGGAGACATGCCAGACATGAGCAGGAGTGATACTCAGGCCATGGAGCAGGACAATGGCCACTTGGATTTTGAACCAGTGGAGGGGACACTCAGACTATGGGCCAGCAGGAGGGACACTCAGACTATGGACCAGCAGGAGGGACACTCAGACTATGGGCCAGCAGGAGGGACACTCAGACTATGGACCAGCAGGAGGGACACTCAGACTATGGGCCAGCAGGAGGGACACTCAGACTATGGGCCAGCAGGAGGGACACTCAGACTATGGGCCAGCAGGAGGGACACTCAGACTATGGGCCAGCAGGAGGGACACTCAGACTATGGGCCAGCAGGAGGGACACTCAGACTATGGGCCAGCAGGAGGGACACTCAGACTATGGGCCAGCAGGAGGGACACTCAGACTATGGGCCAGCAGGAGGGACACTCAGACTATGGGCCAGCAGGAGGGACACTCAGACTATGGGCCAGCAGGAGGGACACTCAGACTATGGGCCAGCAGGAGGGACACTCAGACTATGGGCCAGCAGGAGGGACACTCAGACTATGGGCCAGCAGGAGGGACACTCAGACTATGGGCCAGCAGGAGGGACACTCAGACTATGGGCCAGCAGGAGGGGACACTCAGACTATGGGCCAGCAGGAGGGACACTCAGACTATGGGCCAGCAGGAGGAACACTCAGACTATGGGCCAGCAGGAGGGACATTCAGACAATGGGCCAGCAGGAGGGACACTCAGACTATGGTCCAGCAGGAGGGACACTCAGACTATGGGCCAGCAGGAGGGACACTCAGACTATGGGCCAGCAGGAGGGACACTCAGACTATGGGCCAGCAGGAGGGACACTCAGACTATGGGCCAGCAGGAGGGACACTCAGACTATGGGCCAGCAGGAGGGACACTCAGATTCCATTGAAGCTACAGGAAGTATAGAAGAAGTGTAAGCTTCTATGGACGCCAGTCCAAGTTTATATATAACCCCCACCCCCCAGCTCTCTGGTGTAGATAAAGTGGGAGAGGACCTGATGTCTTGTAACCTACACCAAGTAATGGTGTGGTAGGTGGTACCACCCTGATCGCTTGTTCCAGTCACCACAGTGCTCAAAATGACTCTCCCATTGATATATATATATAGTGTGGATTCCCTGTATATCTGATGGTGGAGCGAACGGTTGAAGAATTATTCTACATACACCAGACAGCTGGGGGGTTATGTTTAAAACTTGAACTGGCTTCAGTAGAAGCCTCGAGGCTTCCTGTGGATTCAGTAGAATCTCAGGTTGTATAACTTTTTAGCCCGTCCTCCTAAGGTTTCCCAACGACAAGAAAACGGGTAATCTCAAGTGTACTCTCCTAACCTACCTGAGGACCCAAAACAGAAAACGGGACAGTACGTCACTTACGCCAGCCGCTTCTATGTTCTAGCACGACAATTTTTGGCCGTATGTCACGCATATGAGCGAAAAGTGACGTTCTTTGTTGGAGGACAGGTTGAACTTACACCATGTCGTGATACAAGGGTAAGGTGCGCGGCTAGGAGCTACTTGATCGTTGGTCAAGGAGATCCAGATCGCTGGAACCACTTCATGCTAAGCTCACTAAACTTTGCAGGGTGACTGCTCGTTGTCCGAGGATGATCATAGGCCAGTCGGAGTCGAGTTGTGTGCATCCCTCTTTGCATGACAGGGGCAATTCATATTAATTTCCAATCTCGTTAAATAAAAGACACCATCCTCATTAAGATTACAGAAATGAAGAGAAAATGGTGGTGAAGGTGGTGAAGGGTAGGGAAGGTGGTGAGTGGTAGGGAAGGTGGTGAAGGGTAGGGAAGGTGGTGAAGGGTAGGGAAGGTGGTGAATGGTAGGGAAGGTGGTGAAGGGTAGGGAAGGTGGTGAGTGGAAGGGAAGGTGGTGAAGGGTAGGGAAGGTGGTGAGTGGTAGGGAAGGTGGTGAAGGGGTAGGGAAGGTGGTGAAGGGTAGGGAAGGTGGTGAAGGGTAGGGAAGGTGGTAAAGGGTAGGGAAGGTGGTGAGTGGTTGGGAAGGTGGTGGTGAGTGGTTGGGAAGGTGGTGAAGGGTAGGGAAGGTGGTGAAGGGTAGGGAAGGTGGTGAGTGGTAGGGAAGGTGGTGAAGGGTAGGGAAGGTGGTGAGTGGTTGGGAAGGTGGTGGAGGGTAGGGAAGGTGGTGAGTGGTAGGGAAGGTGGTGAAGGGTAGGGAAGGTGGTGAAGGGTAGGGAAGGTGGTGAAGGGTAGGGAAGGTGGTGAAGGGTAGGGAAGGTGGTGAGTAGTAGGGAAGGTGGTGAAGGGTAGGGAAGGTGGTGAAGGGTAGGGAAGGTGGTGAAGGGTAGGGAAGGTGGTGAAGGGTAGGGAAGGTGGTGAAGGGTAGGGAAGGTGGTGAAGGGTAGGGAAGGTGGTGAAGGGTAGGGAAGGTGGTGAGTAATAGGGAAGGTGGTGAAGAGTAGGGAAGGTGGTGAAGGGTAGGGAAGATGGTGAAGGGTAGGGAAGGTGGTGAAGGGTAGGGAAGGTGGTGAAGGGTAGGGAAGGTGGTGAAGGGTAGGGAAGATGGAGAAGGGTAGGGAAGGTGGTGAAGGGTAGGGAAGGTGGTGAAGGATAGGGAAGGTGGTGAAGGGTAGGGAAGGTGGTGAAGGGTAGGGAAGGTGGTGAAGGGTAGGGAAGGTGGTGAAGGGTAGGGAAGGTGGTTAAGGGTAGGGAAGGTTTTGAAGGGTTGGTAAGGTGGTGAGTGGTTGGGAAGGTGGTGAAGGGTAGGGAAGGTGGTGAAGGGTAGGGAAGGTGGTGAAGGGTAGGAAAGGTGGTGAGTGGTAGGTAAGGTGGTGAAGGGTAGGGAAAGTGGTGAAGGGTAGGGAAGGTGGTGAAGGGTAGGGAAGGTGGTGAAGAGTAGGGAAGGTGGCGAAGGGTAAGGAAGGTGGTGAAGGGTAGGAAAGGTGGTGAGTGGTAGGTAAGGTGGTGAAGGGTAGGGAAGGTGGTGAGTGGTAGGGAAGGTGGTGAAGGGTAGGGAAGGTGGTGAGTGGTAGGGAAGGTGGTGAAGGGTAGGGAAGGTGGTGAGTGGTAGGTAAGGTGGTGAAGGGTAGGGAAAGTGGTGAGTGGTTGGGAAGGTGGTGAGTGGTTGGGAAGGTGGTGAAGGGTAGGGGAGGTGGTGAAGGGTAGGGAAGGTGGTAAAGGGTAGGGAAGGTGGTGAAGGGTAGGGAAGGTGGTGAAGGGTAGGGAAGGTGGTGAAGGGTAGGGAAGGTGGTGAAGGGTAGGGAAGGTGGTGAAGGATAGGGAAGGCGGTGAGTGGTAGACAAGCTGGTGAAGAGAATTTTAAAGAGAAAGAACCAAGCCATTACGACTATATAGCACTTGGAAGGGATCAGGATAAGGTTTTGGGATAGGATGGGGGGGGGGGACGAATGGTGGATGTGTGGCTGGGATGTATAATGTAAAAGGGGGGGGGGACTAGAGAGGGGTGTGTGGCTCGGGTACAAAGGGGGAGAAACTACAGTGGGGTGTGCTAAGGGGGACGGGAGAGGGGTGTGTGGATAAAGTGTAAAGGAAGGGGGGTGTAGAGGGTGTGTGGGGTGTGTATATGGGGGGTGGGGATAGGGAGGATGGGGAGGATGGGAAGGGATGGGGAGGTTGGGGAGGGATTTATAAGGTGAGGCAACAAGCAAGAAATGCGCCGCACAGGACGAGCAGACGACAGGTTACTGGGGCGCCAGTGTGTGACACCCGGGCTTCCAGTACCTATTGACACTCTGCTCCCTCTGTTGACACTCTGCTCCCTCTGTTGACACTCTGCTGCCACTGTTGACACTCTGCTGCCTTTGTTGACACTCTGCTCCCTCTGTTGACACTCTTCTGCCACTGTTGACGCTCTGCTGCCTCTGTTGACACTCTTCTGCCACTGTTGACGCTCTGCTGCCTCTGTTGACACTCTGCTGCCTCTGTTGACACTCTTCTGCCACTGTTGACGCTCTGCTGCCTCTGTTGACACTCTGCTGCCTTTGTTGACACTCTGCTGCCTCTGTTGACACTCTGCTGCATCTGTTGACACTCTGCTGCCTCTGTTGACACTCTGCTGCCTCTGTTGACACTCTTCTGCCTCTGTTGACACTCTTCTGCCACTGTTGACGCTCTGCTGCCTCTGTTGACACTCTGCTGCCTCTGTTGACACTCTTCTGCCACTGTTGACGCTCTGCTGCCTCTGTTGACACTCTGCTGCCTTTGTTGACACTCTGCTGCCTCTGTTGACGCTCTGCTGCCTCTGTTGACACTCTGCTGCCTTTGTTGACACTCTGCTGCCTCTGTTGACACTCTGCTGCCTCTGTTGACACTCTGCTGCCTCTGTTGACACTCTGCTGCCTCTGTTGACACTCTGCTTCCTCTGTTGACACTCTGCCACATTTGTTGTCACTTTGCACAGTGTCACATGTGCTGTCATCTCTGTGTCACCTCTGTGTCACCTCTGCCGTCATATCTGTGTCACCGCTGCCGTCATATCTGTGTCACCTCTGCCGTCATATTTGTGTCACCTCTGCCGTCATATTTGTGTCACCTTTGCCGTTGTTGTTGTTGACAACCTCTGCCACCATCGTCACTCTTGTTGACAACGTCTGCCACCATCACCGCTGTTGTTGACAACTTCTACCACCATCGTCACTGTTGTTGACAACTTCTGCCACCATTTCCACTCTTGTTGACTTGGAGTCATTGCGTTTAACGTCAGGCTGCTGAAAAGGCGGTGTCTAAGATCTGAAGCTCGATTCTGTAGGCACATCTAGACAGGTACACACACAAACGTCCCTCAGCCCCATCAACAACTTTACCAGATAATAACTCAGATTTAACAGCCCTGCCTACAAGACAAGTTACTACACCAGTGGAGTGAATGTAAAGGATGAGAATAAATGAGAATGGGCAGAAGAAAGTGAACTTGAAAGTAATGTATATAAATATAGATGAGATTACAAATAAAGCAAGTGAACTTGATAAAACTTCCCACGAACAACGCCCAGATGTAATTGCACTCACAGAAACAAAATTGTTAGGTGTTATAACTAATGGAGCGTTCTCTCTGGACGACCATATAGCAAGGAAAGAGAGGGAAGAGGAGGAGGAGGAGTGGCCCTCCTGATCACAGAGAATTGGAGTTTCAAGGAGATTGTTATCCTGGACTAATGGGTAAGGGACTACATAAGAGTCACCATGGCAATAAGAGACTCAGAGATAGCAGTTGCCGGCTCGTTGTCAGCTGGTTTAAACGATTGTTTGCCAGTATGTGAGTGCTGTGTCGCTTGATCCAATGCAAACCCTTGACTGAAACCACTAAGATTTCGGTTAATGTGACTCGTGCCAAAAATTATGTGTGGCCGAGGTCAGTAAACAGTGCAGAGAACGTCTTAAGACTATCTAGGATTTGCTTATTAAAATGGATATTTGTGCTTACAGAGTGAGATTCGTAACAACTATCTTAGTGCGAGAAGAGAAGATGAGTGATTCGTAACAACTGTGTTTGTGTGAAATGAGAAGTGGAGAGGCAGTATGAAAACTACATAAATAAAGCATAGATCCAACCCAAGTGGCTTCACAGCCACCTCAGAAGAAAATCAGTGAAGGAAAAAGTGATGAATTTAAGAAAAAGTGGACAGGCTCACACAGAGTGACAAGGAGGTGTATGAGGAACTCGTCAAGAGATTTCAGGAAGTCTTCACAATAGAACAAGGTGAAGTGCATGAACTAAGAGAGAAGACGTTAAACCAAGTAGCACTGGAGGAATGTGACAAGCCTGTAGGACTATACAGATTCTCACCATAAATACTAAAAGAGGGCAAGCAGAAATACTGTGCTTGATATTTTCTTTGGTGTAGAATAAGTCCCTGGAAACAGGAAATCTACCAGAAGGTTTGAAGACAGCTAATATATTTCCAAAATACAATAAGAGAGACAGAAAGGCTAGTAGCACATCTGGAGAGCATGGACTTTGTAACAAACCACAAGCACAGGTTTAGAAATACCAAATCATGCCTCACAAATTTGATATAATTCTATAGCCAACCAATAGAAATTACGCAAAATAAGCAAGGTTAGGCAGACTGTATATTTTTGGATTATTAATTTACCTTTGACACAATACCACATAAGAAACTATTGCACAATTTGAAGAAGAAGAAAAGAGTGAGAGCGAAGGTGCTCCAGTGGATAAGGGAGTACCTAAGCTACAGAAGACACCTTCACTGTGAGGGGTGAGATCTCAAGAGTGGCGAGATGTCACCAGTGGAACCCCACATGGCTCACTGCTCGGACCTTCCCTGTTTCAGATATATGTAAATGATTAACCAGAGACAATAGACTCCTGCCACTCAATGTTTGTTGATGATGCAGCAATTATAAGAAAAATATAAGACAGAGGAAGGCAGCAATAGACGACAAGATGATCTGGATAAACTGAGAGAATTGTTCAACAAATAGTTACTAGAGTTTAACACACATAAGTTCAAAGTAATGAAACTTAGATATATATGTATTATAATAGAGAATATATGTCTGTCTGTCTGTCTGTTTGTTCAAACATCCACCCACATATTTATTTATCTACCGTCTGTCTTCGTCTCTGCCTCTCTGTCTCTGACAGAATATAGATAGATGAACAAAGAGATATACAGATCAATGGATAGATGGGAGGATAGATGGATGTATGTATAGACAGATAGATAGATGGATAGATAGATTGATAGGTAGATGGTCAGATGGATGGATAGACGGAGGGGAGGGAACGATCAAGAGAAAGTGCCAAGCCATTACGCCTATATAGCCCTTGGAAGGGGTCAGCATAAGGATTAGGGAAGGGACGGGGGGGAAGGAATGGTGCCCAATCACTTGGACGGTTGGGGATTGAACGCCGACCTGCAAGACGCGAGACCGTCGCTCTACCGTCCAGTCTGATTTAAACGGTAGAACGTCTCACGAGCGTCGTCGTCACCACCAACGGTCATCGTCACCACCACCAACGGTCGTCGTCACCACCACCACTAACGGTCGTCGTCACCACCACCACCAACGGTCGTCACCACCACCAACGGTCATCGTCACCACCATCAACGGTCGTCGTCACCACCACCACTAACGGTCGTCGTCACCACCACCACCAACGGTCGTCGTCACCACCACCACTAACGGTCGTCGTCACCACCACCACCAACGGTCGTCACCACCACCACTAACGGTCGTCGTCACCACCACCAACGGTCGTCGTCACCACCACCACCAACGGTCGTCGTCACCACCACCACCAACGGTCGTCGTCACCACCACCACCAACGGTCGTCGTCACCACCACCACCAACGGTCGTCGTCACCACCACCACCAACGGTCGTCACCACCACCAACGGTCGTCGTCACCACCACCACCAACGGTCGTCGTCACCACCACCACTAACGGTCGTCGTCACCACCACCACCAACGGTCGTCACCACCACCACCAACGGTCGTCGTCACCACCACCACTAACGGTCGTCGTCACCACCACCACCAACGGTCGTCGTCACCACCACCACCAGTCGTCGTCACCACCACCACTAACGGTCGTCGTCACCACCACCACCAACGGTCGTCGTCACCACCACCAACGGTCGTCACCACCACCAACGGTCGTCGTCACCACCACCACCAACGGTCGTCGTCACCACCACCACCAACGGTCGTCGTCACCACCACCAACGGTCGTCACCACCACCAACGGTCGTCGTCACCACCACCACTAACGGTCGTCGTCACCACCACCACCAACGGTCGTCGTCACCACCAACGGTCATCGTCACCACCACCAACGGTCGTCGTCACCACCACCACCAACGGTCGTCGTCACCACCACCACCAACGGTCGTCGTCACCACCACCAACGGTCGTCGTCACCACCACCACTAACGGTCGTCGTCACCACCAACGGTCGTCACCACCACCAACAACGGTCGTTGTCACCACCACCACTAACGGTCGTCGTCACCACCACCACCAACGGTCGTCGTCACCACCACCACCAACGGTCGTCGTCACCACCACCACTAACGGTCGTCGTCACCACCACCACCAACGGTCGTCGTCACCACCACCACTAACGGTCGTCGTCACCACCACCAACGGTCGTCACCACCACCACCAACGGTCGTCACCACCACCACCAACGGTCGTTGTCACCACCACCACTAACGGTCGTCGTCACCACCACCACCAACGGTCGTCGTCACCACCACCACCAACGGTCGTCGTCACCACCACCAACGGTCGTCGTCACCACCACCAACGGTCGTCGTCACCACCACCAACGGTCGTCGTCACCACCACCACTAACGGTCGTCGTCACCACCACCACCAACGGTCATCGTCACCACCACCACCAACGGTTGTCGTCACCACCAACGGTTGTCGTCACCACCACCAACCGTCGTCACCACCACCAACGGTCGTTGTCACCACCACCAACGGTCGTCACCACCACCAACGGTTGTCGTCACCACCAACGGTTGTCGTCACCACCACCAACGGTCGTCACCACCACCAACGGTCGTTGTCACCACCACCAACGGTCGTCGTCACCACCACCAACGAGTGTTGTCACCACCCACGCATCACCAGTCATCATCACTCGCCACCACTCTCCTAACCATCTTCAGGGCGGGCGACCTCCTGACCCGCCCTATCACCGGCCAGGTCATGGCTGCTCCTGAACACATCTCACTCAACCAGTAGAAGGAACAACGATGGTTAGTGAGGTATAAAGAGATAATGTTAAACTCATATGAGAGTTTGTCTAGTATAGGTTCCAGTTGGTCAGGTGACCCAGCAGACCCACTCTTCCTGGGTTCGACTCACGGTAAACTGGTACCTAAGAGTCAGGCGAGAGTTGTGCCTTGGGAAAGGAGCCGTTGGCCTTAACCCTAGTGGCTCCTAGATTATACATTCAAAGGAATTTGCAAGATCACATTTGTGATCCGAAATCTGTTGGTCACCCACTCACTAGCCTATGCTTACCTCTGATCTACGATGATTTATCATACACAAATATCTATGTTCTTTAGTAATACGTTTCATTCTCAATAATGGTTTTACAGATAATGTAATTGTTTTAGTCTAGTGTCAGCTGCCTTACCCCTTGAACTGGTCAGTAGACACTCTCGCTATTGTTCGATGCTGGCCGGCGCTGTATGCTACTATACTGAATATATTGCGCTCTGGAGGCCACTCCAGACCGACAACAACAGCGCATCTCCATAGTCTCCTGAGACTGATGGATGCCTACTACTCTGGAGTACTAAATCGTAGAGAAAGACTATGTTAGGTGCCTCGTGATATTGATTACCGTTTTGATTTGTCAAACTTTTGGAATTGATGAGTGTTGTATTTGACAATGACTATAGCTGTCACTCTTTGGTAACAAAGAAGACTTTAGTGCTTGATATGGATGTGTCACCTTGAGAAACTTTGAGTTCACGCCCCGCAATATTGGTCGACATGTAGTAATCCACCTTTATCACTGATTTATCGAAGGCACCTGTGAGGCGAGGGGGAACAATGCAAAATAGGTTGAAAATAAATGGGAGACAAAGCAGCAGTAAATACAGGTGAACAATTATAAATAGAAGGAATGGAAGAGGCATACAAGACAAGATGACAGACACGAGTCAGTAACAGAGAGAATTAAGGGAAATAAATAATGGGAGTGGCTGGAGGCGCCATTAAGAGTGGAGTGAGTCCAGCAGTACGCGTGCCGAGAGCCACACACAGATGAAGAAGCCGTGGACACAGGTTTCCCCTCACCTTAAGGACACAGCGTGGACACACGCTGGGGAGACAGGGAGTCCCGGGCGGGCCACGCCACCGTCTTATATAATGGGCGAAGCGGCAACTTGTGCGCAGCAGCAGCGTAAGCCAAGCCTGGAGCGGCGCTCAGGACCGGATGTAAGCCACCACCATGACGCCCCGACCCACTCCCTCTCTACATGACGCCATGTTTTTTGTTTACTTGACATTACACATATTTTCTCGTGGGTGGTCATTGGGCAGTACTTATTTATCCGGAAGTCCCGCCAGTACAGTTGGGGTTAGTTCTCGACTCGCAATTGAGATTTCCGAACTCGAAAGCCAGGCGGGAGAGAAATGGTTGGCCGCATTTCCTATCAGCTAATGCCCTTGTTAACCTAGCAGTAAGTAGGTACTCAGGAGTAGGTCAACTTCTTGTGGGGTTGCATCCAGGGGGGGGGGGGGACAGTAATTCGACTCTGGGAAGACCTCGATATAATCCAAGCATGTATATTCACTGGCTGCCTGTCCCCCGACATAATGAATTATATTCGGCTGAACCGGAGGGATGGAATTGGAGGTAGGGGGGGGTGGTTACCTGGTTACCTTGTTGGTTTCGGGGCTTAGCGTTCCCGCGGCCCGGTTATCGCCCAAGACTCCTCGTTGCTGGACTGGTCAACCAGGCTGTTGGACGCGGCTGCTCGCAGCCTGACGTATGAGACACAGCCTGGTTGATCAGGTATTCTTTGGAGGTGCTTATCAAGTTCTTTCTTGAACACTGCGATGGCTCGACAAGTTATGCTCCTTATGTGTAGTGGAAGTGTGTTGAATAGTCTCGGGCCTCTGATGTTGATAGAGTTCTCATTCAGAGTACCTGTTGCATCTCTGCTCTTCAACGGGGGTATTCTGCACATCCTGCCATGCCTCCTGGTCTCATGTGGTGTTATTTCTGTGTGCAGGGCACCGCCGGGGTAGTTTATCTTACGCAGTGTGTCCGACTTGGTGCCTTCTTTTCATAATAACTAATACTGTGTGTTTGCTGATGGAGGCAGGGTATATTGATGATAATAATTAGAGTAATTACACACAGAAATCACAATTGCGTGATGCATCAAATGAACAAATCCACAAGGGCTGTGACGAGGATTCGAACCTGAGTGCGAGAGCATCCCATACGCTGCCTTAATCGACAGAGCTACGACATGGTCAAAAGGAGTTGAAACCGAAGTTCTACTGAACTTACGGGATCCTGCAGCCTCTGCGAGGCACAAACCAGGGTTTTACACAACTCCCCCCATGCACCCGAGCTATGTTAATAGGCTGTTCTCCCTCTTCGCCCTTACTTCATTACTTAACCATGTCGTAACTCAGTCGATAATGAAGTAAGGGCGAAGAACGAGAACGACCTATTGACATAGCTCGAGTGCATGGGGGGAGTTCTGTAAAACCCTGGTTTGTGCCTCGGAGAGGCGACAGGATCCAGTAAGTTCAGTAGAACTTCGGTTTCAACTCCTTTTGACCATGACGTAGCTCAGTCGATTAAGGCAGCGTCTGGGATGCTCTCGGACGCAGGTTCGAATCCTCGTCACGGCCCTTGTGGATTTGTTAATTAGAGTGATGATGGGAAAGTGATGAAGTGGAAGAGGTGAAAGGTGGAGAAAGGTACGTAAGTGGTATGGAAAGTGTTACAGGGTAGGGCAGGTGGTGCAAGAGAGGGGGGACCCGGAGGTAGTGATGATGGTTACAGAGATGAACACAGCATTAAGTGAAGATAGTCATATTGATGAAGATAGTCGTGTATAGTGCAAATAGTTGCAGTGTTGCAGGGTTTGTGTAGTGAAGGTTACAGTGATGATCCTTGTGAGTAGTTAAAATTAAACTGAGGAAGATAGTGTAAAGTAAAGAAGGTTGGTGATGATATATATATATATATATATATATATATATATATATATATATATATATATATATATATATATATATATATATATATATATGTGTGTATATCACAAAAATAAACACGTGATTAAGAATGTGACAATGTCAGACCACGGAGGAAAAAATGAAACAGGAAATTTCCTTAAGTACTTTCGTATATTAAATACGAAACCTTCTGAAACCTTATTTGGACCTTCTGAAGATGTATTTAATATACGAAAGTACTTAAGGAAATTTCCTGTTTCATTTTTTCCTCCGTGGTCTGACATTGTCATATATATATATATATATATATATATATATATATATATATATATATATATATATATATATATATATATATATATATATAGAGGGTACCACCTCTGGTGCCAATGTGGGGACCCATAGCCTCGGAGAAGAAAATAAAAAGTATTCAGAGGAGACCTTGTGGTTTCTCACTGAACACTAATATTATCTTCTCCTACCACCCCCATTCTTTTGTATGTACACATATATATTTACTTTATTTGAACTTTGTTACAAAAAAGGAGTTACATATGGGTTACAAAGATGGTTGTCATAGGTTGTCGAGTTCCTCCAGCTCCTCAGATGGCGGGCAGGAACCCTGGATGCAGTGCGCATTTCCCCTCTGTATCGCCACACTGAGGCGCTGGAAAAGAAAGCTTGCAGCTCTCGGGTCCCTTGTTGTTTCAATGAGCCTAGAACCCAGTTCCTTCAAAAAACTGGTAGCACTTTTACCCCAGGCGCCGAGCGTCTCAGAAGCAATGGGGACAATGGGGACATATATATATATATATATATATATATATATATATATATATATATATATATATATATATATATATATATATATTAGTATATTTTGGTAGCAGTCTTTACTGTAGACATATATTATTAAATATGACCGAAAAAGTAAGATTAATAATTCTAACACGAATTTTCTCAATATTTCTTATGTTTCTTTTCACTGTCGATGATAATTGAAAAATCACTCCTCTTGTACCTGTCTGGGCAGTCACTGTTGGCATTGAGGCACATTCCTATGTTTGTTTCCTTAGTGTAGACTGCAGTATGGAAACCTCCGCTCCTTTCCATGACTGTTACATCTAGAAAGGGCAGCTTCCCATCCTTCTCCATCTCGTAAGTGAAACGCAATACAGAATTCCGCTCAAATGCCTCCTTCAGCTCCTGCAGATGTCTGACATCAGGTACCTGTGTAAAAATGTCATCAACATACCTGCAGTATATGGCCGGTTTAAAGTTCATGTCGACTAAGACCTTTTGTTCGATGGTACCCATGTAGAAGTTCGCAAATAGGACACCTAGGGGAGAACCCACGGCGACCCCATCTACTAGCTTATACATGTGCCCATCCGGGCTCAAGAAAGGTGCCTCTTTAGTACAAGCTTGGAGTAGTTTCCTTAGAATGTTTTCTGGTATGTCAAGAGGAGTACAGGCCGGATCACGATACACTCTGTCCGCTATCATCCCGATTGTTTCATCTGTCCGCTATCATTTCGATTTAATTTTCATAGAATCTATGAAAATTCCATTAATCAATGGAATCAGTAACATTGAAATGGAATTGTAACATATTTAGTATAGCATGTGTGTTGCTCTTACATGCAACAGATGGCACCGTTTTTTAAAAAACAACAACATAGTTTTATCTGTCACAGGTGTGGCATCTTTACAGATACTTACGAAATGAACGGCATTGTAAACAACACAGCTGAATTCCAACACAATGTCACACAAAATAATTCAATAAAATATAAAATAATTCGAAATCTATGAAAATAAAATTTATCAATGCAATCGGAATCATTGAAATGGAATTTGTGACATATATAGTATATCGTGCATGCGCACAGCAACGCACACGCGTTACAGAGCCACAGCAATGCGTGGTTGGGTACTGTTATTATATATTATATATGCGAACAAGCCTGAACGGTCCCCAGGCATGTTTGCAACTGAAACCTCCACACCCCAGAAGTGACTCGAACCCATATTACCATGAGCACCATGCAACTGATGTACAGGAGACCTTAACCCCTCGACCATCACGACCGGACAAAAGATGATGGTAGCCGAGGTTATTTTCCCATCATCCCGCCGGCGCTCTGATAGTAATCTTGGGCATGGTATTTGATCAAATCACCTCATTTTTGGGGGGCCACGTGAGCAACACAAATGCGAACAAGCCTGGTTGTGATGGTCGAGTGGTTAAGGTCTCCTGTACACCAGTTGCATGGTGCTCCTGGTAGTATGGGTTCGAGTCACTTCTAGGGTGTGGAGTTTTCAGTTATATATATATATATATATATATATATATATATATATATATATATATATATATATATATATATATATATATATATATATATATATATATATATATATATATATATATATATGTTTCATTGAATATGACCGCATATTCTGTATTTATTATTTTCTGGTTTAGGGCTTCTATCCCTCTAACTATTTTCTTAGCATCAGGGCTTAATTGAAATAGGAGTTCTCCAAAACTCATTTTCGTACTTTTAAGGTGAAGAAAAGAAGTGATTTACTAAAGAGTGTATTACACTTATTTCTATAATTTGCACGACGTTTCGAACCTCCATGGTTCATTCTCAAGTGAACAGATCTTACAATACTAGTTGATTTTATACCCGCATTAGGTCAGGTGATAATACAATGAAGGTGAAAACATGGGGGGATACATAAGGGATAAACATAGGGACTGCAGAAGGCTTATTGGCCCATACGAGGCATCTCCTATCTAAACACAAAGATTAATCCAGTGTAATTGGCCTGTTATGTTGGACATTGTCTTCTGTGTTGGCATCGATATGTTCTTGTCTTGTCCTTACTCTCATGGTGGGTAGAGTAAATAGTTCCGTGATTTGGGTGTTCATGGTAGGTCGCTCTATTCTTATCTTCTATCATAAGAATAGAGCGACCTACCATGAACACCCAAATCACGGAACTATTTACTCTACCCACCATGAGAGTAAGGACAAGACAAGAACATATAGATGCCAACACAGAAGACAATGTCCAACATAACAGGCCAATTACACTGGATTAATCTTTGTGTTTAGATAGGAGATGCCTCGTATGGGCCAATAAGCCTTCTGCAGCCCCTATGTTTATCCCTTATGTATCCCCCCATGTTTTCACCTTCATTGTATTATCACCTGACCTAATGCGGGTATAAAATCAACTAGTATTGTAAGATCTGTTCACTTGAGAATGAACCATGGAGGTTCGAAACGTCGTGCAAATTATAGAAATAAGTGTAATACACTCTTTAGTAAATCACTTCTTTTCTTCACCTTAAAAGTACGAAAATGAGTTTTGGAGAACTCCTATTTCAATTAAGCCCTGATGCTAAGAAAATAGTTAGAGGGATAGAAGCCCTAAACCAGAAAATAATAAATACAGAATATGCGGTCATATTCAATGAAACATGTTTGAAAGAAAACCTGCTGCCAGTATACACCAATATATATATATATATATATATATATATATATATATATATATATATATATATATATATATATATATATATATATATATATATATATACACGAGTTCTTAGTTCTGAGCCACTAGCACGCATACCGTTTAGAGCAGGTCCTTAATCTTAATTTTCCTTGAAATACGACCCGCCAAATCGCTTAACAATCAGGTACCCGTTCACTGCTGGGTGAACAGAGGCGTACAATTAAGGATTGGTGCCAGTGTATTACCATTGCACCACGAGAACTGTGGGGGGACAATCCTATGCCAATTGTCACTGGACGGTGACAATCCTATGAGATGGGAGTATTATATGAACTTACAGGTAGTTCTTGAACTCTGTACTAGGTAGCAATCTGCGGTGTGCCTAGGCTTGCTTAAAATAAATAATAATAAAAACTAGAGTTACATACACAATTGTATGTTTGTTAAATGACGAACATGCTTTAGCCACATATAATATAACGCCTGACATGTCGTCAGTGTATATAAGCCAATTATTATTACTTGAAAAGATTTTCGTATTTATAACTTTATAATTAGTTTGAGAATATGTAGCCTATTAACACCGCAGAGAAATTATTGTTATATATCAAAATAGTTTAATTTAAACTATGCTCGCAGTAATTATTGTTCCAAGCTCTTAATAAGCCAAGGGTAAAGTTAAACCCGTTTAATAACGGAGAGAAAAATATAGCAAAGCCGGGAAGCGAGGTGAGAGGCGTCAGGTAACCAGACGAGACAACGCCAGCCGGCACCTGACACCACCACCCCAACACTTCTCCCTCCCTCCACATGCACCCGGTACGGTGTGTGATGCAGGTACACCACCCCAACACTTCTCCCTCCCTCCCTTCACATGCACCCGGTACGGTGTGTGAGGCAGGTACACCACCCCAACACTTCTCCCTCCCTCCCTCCACATGCACCCGGTACGGTGTGTGAGGCAGGTACACTACCCCAACACTTCTCCCTCCCTCCCTCCACATGCACCCGGTACGGTGTGTGAGGCAGGTACACCACCCGCAACACTTCTCCCTCCCTCCCTCCTCATGCACCGGGTACGGTGTGTGAGGCAGGTACACCACCCGCAACACTTCCCCCTCCCTCCCTCCTCATGCACCCGGTACGGTGTGTGAGGCAGGTACACCACCCCAACACTTCCCCCCTCCCTCCCTCCTCATGCACCGGGTACGGTGTGTGAGGCAGGCAGCTACTCGGAACAAAAAGTTCTAAGTAGCACAGGCTATGATGAGCCCGTAGGTGGAGGCTCTTTGGAGCCATTATCTGTATCAATAGATGATACTGGAGATCTGGGATGGGGTCCGTGGACGCCCCAATCCAATCCAAGACCATAAGCGTGGCCAGACTGGTGAAATAATGAGGTACGCACATTTTAGCTGATAGGAAACAAATGGTCATGGAGAGTGGAGAGACCACAGAGCTAAGTCACAAATAGATTACCACAGGCGTCTCTACTTTGACCAATATTATTCCTGACACACGAATGAACTGAATGAGGAAGCTGTTTCAAAATTAATTAATAATCATAACAAAATAACCAGTGAACAATATAAAATGAAATGGAGACGACTCCCTGAAATTACAAAGGAGGAAGACAAGAGAGTTTATATAGCCCTTAGCTTAGTACCGAACCTTACACAAATACACAGTTTCAGCATATACTGATCTCGAAAACATAAAAATAACATTATAACTCTAGAGCAGGAGGCCTTCAGAATATTTTACACAACATACCTTCTTGATGGGGTTCTAGGAGTTCTTCTACTCCCCAAGCCCGCCCGAGGCCAGGCTCGACTTGTGAGAGTTTGGTCCACCAGGCTGTTCCTTATGAGAATAAGGAACAGTAGCGGTGCAAGGACTGTACCTTGAGGTACAGGAGCTGAGTGCATAGGCATATTGTCACTTTCTCTTTCAAACTCTTCCGAGTTTGTTGTAATATCCGTTATATTATCTGCAGCTTGAATGTTATTCATGAAGAAGCTGTCTGGGTCATCAACTTTCATGTTGTTTATTGGTGTGCTAAACATAGCTTCATACTGGCTTCTTAGAATTTCAGTAATCTCTTTGTTGTCCTCTGTGTATGTACCTTCATTTGTAGTTAACGGTCCATATGCGAGGTTCATTCTGGGGTATGTCGCCCCCAGGGTGTATAACCCCCGCCTAAAGAAGTGAATCCATTCTCAAAAGGTGGTATTCCTATAGCTACTGTGGATGGAATATATACTTCAAGAAGCTGATAGCGAGAAGGATTGCGACATTCAATACCTTGATTTTAGCAAGGTCTTTGATTATAGTTGGCATTTCCATTCTGCCTCTCCTCTCACACTCCCACCGTCCCTCTCCTCTCAAACTCCCACTCTGCTTCTCCTCCACTCTCCCACCCTCTCAAACTCCCATCCTCCCTCTCACCATACACTCCCCCCCCCCTGCCAATCCTCTTACACCCACTCCTCATGTCTCCCCTACCACGTCACTACCCCAATCTAATCGCTGCCTCTCCAAGGAAGGAGTCCTAAAAAGGTAATGAATTTTCCTGTCGGATCTCTATACTGCCTTAATGACACGTTAGATAAACAGCCTAATATTTAGTGTAATACCGACGTTGGCTGAGTTTGTTTTTTGCGACATCGTTCCTCTGATCCTGGTCCGTTTGACGCGTTAGGTGGGTAACTGGTAGACGGAAACGGAACTGTATGTAATGTTTGTTCAATGAGTGTTTCGACTTAAATGTTTTTATTTTGTATACTTCCTAAGCACAGCACTCAGTTCCTGTTAAATGGCGGGAATCTTTGTTGACAGCTGGAAATTCAAAATATTGAGTTTAAATGTTGTTTTTATTCTAAGACTTCTGTATGTCAAGAGTATACACGCGCGCTCACTCGGATGAAATCCTATTCATGAATTTATGTCAAGAGTATGACAATAGTCGGCATCAACGCCTGTCCAAGATAAGGTCCTTGATAGCAAGTTCAGATAAGATTGTTTGGGGTGTTATCGCGCGTGATGTGTGGGCCTCCCTGTATTGTCCCAGCTGTTGAAGACTACGCTGTGCTCCTCGCTCCACTCTGCTCAGTGACTTTAAAATTTGCATCTCTTTATTTTACTTGCACTTGAGAAGATTTCAAGTGTAACATACAAATTGAACACTAAAGGTGTACGTAGCCTATTGTCAGAGAACCGTGAAAAACACTTCTGTTGACTAAGGAGAGTAAATACTCTTTTAGTGTAATGTGAAGCTGGATTGCGGTGTGGCTTATATATACAGGCATTGTTCTCGTAGACTCATACGAGAAGACACTAGGCTTCCCCACGAGGACTGTATCACTGGCAAAATTCTCGTGTTTATTTAAATTAATATTACTATTATTGCCAACATTATCTTCAACTGTCTTGTTAAATTTGTTTTTCATAAGGAAATATTTGGTATATAACTGTTGATCTGTATAAACTGCTCCCCATCATTACTATATGCTGTACGCGTCGTGTGTTAGTCGGGGTTCATACCCAAGCACCTGAAATTGGATCTACTTAACTCGCTTTAGTGAAATTTAAGCGGTGCTCAAAGTGGCAACCTTGATGTTTCAGCCCGTGACTGTATACCCTTCTCTCTCATAATTGCTCAAGTGCCCAAAGGAAAATTATTTGCATTGTCCCTTAGTAAATCATAACAAAAACTGCCAACAATATGAGAGATATACATGAGTGCTTGTGCTGAAATAATTATATTATAGAAAAAAATTACAGGATGAAAAGATTTTCAGATAATTAAATATGAAGCATGACGCGATAACATTTTGAAAAGTGTAAACTGAAAGAGAAATTATGAAAATAAGTGATAGAGTTACCTGATTCAAGAGGCCAGGCGCCAGGCTCCTCCTGCTGGAGTGATGAAGCAGTCGGTGAGGAGAGCCATGGTGGGCCTCCTGCTGGCGACACAGCGGAGGTGGGCGGCCATGGGCGTGACGACGCTCCTCTGGGGCGTGGGCGTCCTGTGCGTGTTCATCCTGTATCTTGCGTACATGCAACCCACAGGTGTACATGTCGTGTAAGTCGCTAACACTGGAAGCTCGTTCAGTGAGAGCTCATTGTTATTGTTCTGTCTATTTTCTACCATGGTATTTGTTCCACCATTCAGTTACAATGGTAATCAGAATATACACATATTCTTCTGTCCTCTGTGGATAAGGCTAGAGCTCTGAGACACTATGTACAGGAGAGTTATTGAGCACTCAATAACAGAGGGTGATTTCAGTGCTTTTACAAAGGAAATACAGATACAATTTGACAACATATTTATACATTTCCGTCTGCTTTTGATGGGCAAGGTCAGAGATCTTAATGGAGTGTGCATCACTATTATGTAGGCTTCTATTAAGTGAATGGTCAGCTTCTGAGGGAAGAAATGTTGAAACCTGGATGTGTGGATAGTTTGCAATCAAGTAATAACGTGCTTGTCTTGGAAGCTAGACGTAGATATATAAGAATACTTAGCAAGAGGGTAAATATAAAAATGTTGTGGATTCCTTCTCACATTAGCCTGCAGGAACATGACAAAGTTGACGCCCTTGCTTAGGCTGCAGTAAATAAAGACAGTATTGAACGGAATCTTGAGTTATCAAATAGGTCCCTTAAAAGTGTCATTAGACAAGAACTCCTGGATGGATTTGAAGAAAGTAGAATTGTGCAAACTGGAGCTAGCAGGTCCATTGTTCATCACAATGAAATGTGTGAAGTAAAACATGTGTATGGGGCAAGTAACAAAGTCAGTAGACTAACAGATGTTGTCACAACTCGTATAAGACTTGGCTACAAGTATCTCTGGCAGTTCGGCTTGTATAGGGATCTAGATGAAGTAAAGTGTAAAGTGTGTGGACATAGGCAGGGACACACACTCGAACACTATATCTTGGATTGTAGTAAAATTGAGCCATTTAGAGATAAATCTAAGCTCACTCTGTATGATATGGCAACCTATCTTATTACCATCGATAAATTACCTGAAATCCTTGCACTGTATCCATATTTCGCTTCCAGTAGATAAACGACATATGAGATGAAGAAACAAGTAGTGTATTGTGAAGACTAAAAATAAACAGAAGCTACCCTATGACTATCTCCATTGGTCAAACTATTATGTATTAGCGATAAGACCTACCATTAATGCATAATGACTTACTGTAAATATATAGCTCTTACTGTAAATATATAGCTCTTGAAATAGCACTTTCTCTGTAACTAGCTGACATGTAACTATAAGGTGTGAAGAATAGATGAAATTGTTTATGTAATAATCTAAGATGAGGCCAAAGAAATAAATCATAAAGACCTTTTGTGCCCTCTGTAATGCTTTTTGCGCTACCGCTCACAGGATGGGTATGGGGTGCACAATAAACTAGCTGCCTCCGGCGGCAACAACAACAAAAAAAGCCCAAGTGCAGGTCGGGTTAGGTGGGTTGCTTGGGTTCGCGCGTTTCTGGTTAGAAACGCTTTGTTTTCCGTATGTTGTGGATAGTCAAGAGAACGAGCTGCAGAGCCGAACGTAACTGTGTGGTAAAAATTAGTGAAACTATTCTCCGGAGGAATATATATATATATATATATATATATATATATATATATATATATATATATATATATATATATATATATATATATATATATATATATATATATATATTGTAACGGTTCTATTGTTACGTAAAGTATGGTGACAAATAAACACAGACACTAAGATACTATATATATATTTGGTCGAATATACAGAAGTACACAGGTGATACTTTGGTGTGAGTTGGACGCACTGAGCGTCGGTACAGTATCTCGCAAGTGTCTGCTCTAGACCACACTTGAAAGTAGACTCTGGTTAATGTTTGCTATTCTGCTGCTTATATGCTCGGGCAACACCTCACCGTGTTGCCCGGGCAACGCCTCACCTCATTCATCTTCAAAGGTTGACAGGAATATTAACAAAGCATTTGGAGCGAGTATATTATTGGGATAATCTACTCGCTACAATATATATATATATATATATATATATATATATATATATATATATATATATATATATATATATATATATATATATATATATATATATATGTTTCATTGAATATGACCGCATATTCTGTATTTATTATTTTCTGGTTTAGGGCTTCTATCCCTCTAACTATTTTCTTAGCATCAGGGCTTAATTGGAATAGGAGTTCTCCAAACTCATTTTCGTACTTTTAAGGTGAAGAAAAGAAGTGATTTACTATAGAGTGTATTACACTTATTTGTATAATTTGCACGACGTTTCGAACCTCCATGGTTCATTCTCAAGTGAACAATCTTACAATACTATTGATAGTATTATTGTAAGATTGTAGTATTGTAAGATTGTTCACTTGAGAATGAACCATGGAGGTTCGAAACGTCGTGCAAATTATACAAATAAGTGTAATACACTCTATAGTAAATCACTTCTTTTCTTCACCTTAAAAGTACGAAAATGAGTTTTGGAGAACTCCTATTCCAATTAAGCCCTGATGCTAAGAAAATAGTTAGAGGGATAGAAGCCCTAAACCAGAAAATAATAAATACAGAATATGCGGTCATATTCAATGAAACATGTTTGAAAGAAAACCTGCTGCCAGTATACACCAATATATATATATATATATATATATATATATATATATATATATATATATATATATATATATATATATATATATATATATATATATATATATATATATATATATATATATATATATATATATATATATATATATATATATATATATATATCAGAAAGAGCTCCTCTCATGAAAGGTTCTACTCTAGGTTCTAAATATTATTAAGGTGTCAAAAATCGGTAACATCTAAGGCACTCAATTTGTGAGAAAATTCACAGATGAAAGCACAGTGAAAAATAACAAGAGCGAGGCACTTCAACATGACTGTGTTTACCTAGACCATAACTTCTGCTCGCGTGATGCCTGACAATAAAAATTCTGGCGGGAACATCGGCTTTGTTAACACAACTGAATTGTTCAAATATGGCGAGAACTTGTAACCAGAAAAGGCGGGCTGGTGACTTGGATGTTAGAGGGGATGTTAGAGGGAACAGGACACGTTGAACAGGATGAACAACATATTTGTTCACATACGCAATATTCTGCAACGAATGTTATGTGTTGATTCCTTACCCATGCCGTCACTCGAACGCTGAGGAACCAAATGACGCTGTGTCCGGTTTATGCTTACAGCGTCAGATGTATATATTGAGCTGTCAAGGCAACTTCCATATCTAGGTTAGAAACAGAGTGTTAATATTTAGGGGACAATGTGAGAATTTACAGGAGCAGCTGCTTACCTCTGATTTTCTCACTGCATGAAGTACTGCTACATGTAAGGCGACATTATATGTCGTAGAACCACATGTACATTACATAGTACATATAGTTCGTGTAAATCGTGCTGGCATACTTAAAGTACGCAATGAAGTGATAGAAGTTTATAATGTAAAATATTTTAGGGGGGGGGGGAAGGGTACCTGGTCGTCCCAAGATAGTCTATCAGTCCCCCAAACACACACTTTACCCTTCTTCTCTCCCGTTTCCCGTCCTCTGCTCTCTTGCGTTCTGTTATTTCTGTAGTTCCTCTACACCCTTGTATTTAATTGCCTTGCTTCCTCGCATGCCCGATTAAACCATGGATTCCTCTTTTGCTTTTCCTTTATTCCCTTTTGGGCTGGGATGAACTTGTTTACTGCCTTCTGACACCTCTGTGTGACGTAATCCATCATGTCTTGTAAAGACTTTCCTCTGAGTTTTGTTGTCCATGGTATTATGATATTTCTGTTAGGAATTTTCTCATCTCCTCATAGTTTCCCTTTTGGTATGCCAGCCCTTTACTTTCTGGTTCTTTTCTTGGGGAGGAGATTACCCATAACTCTACTAAATACGCAAATGTAGTCATTCATTCCAAGGAGGGAAGGGGGCTTCCAACTTAACTTCCTTCATGTCCTGCTCATTCTGGGTGAATATCAGATCAAGTCTAGCTGGTTCATCTTCTCCTCTCATTCTTGTGGGTCCCTTGACGTGTTGACTTATGGTGTCAGGATCGATCTGAATTTGAGGTGCTGCACGCTCCGTCCACCTAATAGCACGTCGCATTTGGACGTATACTCTACCTAAGGTAAAAAACTTACGTAAAAAAGATGGTAGTGGCTCACGAAATTGAGTGAGGTCTCGTTTTCTGTTCGTGGGTCCTTGTTAGGTTCAGGCACTTTAGTATAACAGCTTAGTGACGTTGGGAACGCTCAGGAGGACGGGCTGGGTGTTGAGCGTATTCTCTGTGGTGCTGAGCATGTTCTCTGAGGCGGTTCTGAGCATGTTCTCTGATGTTGTATGTAATTGGTGATTATATTACACTGTTGATACAGTGTATCAACAGTCTACAAAGTGAATACAAAGAGTGTGCTTTATAATTTAATGGTGTCTGGCACGTTGAACAATTGGTGCTGAGCATAGAGTGATTAAGTCTGTCATCAAACCAAAATGGCGGCAGTTGGAAGACAAGCTGCTATCCGCGGCTTCATATCTGAAGTGTCCTGATGGCTTGGAGATTGTTATTTAAATTTCATAATAGATAGAACAATTAGCGGACATTGAATGATCTGACTTTATCACTGGGTGCCCAGAATAGTTGATAAGCTGTATTGTCATAAATTTTGCGCGTAACAGTTAGACTCAATTAAGACTGAGAACTGGGAAATGCCTTGCAATGAATATATCAAAATTTAATGTTTATTTTAAATCCTGCTACTTTAACTATATATTTTTGTGACAAAGAAATAATTAGTTCTTAAAATTTTTCAAGTTTGAAAATTATTATCACACCCGCCGCAAATGTTACAAATTGTTTCCACGGTGAAAATTTTAGAATGTTCATATTTTTTTATGAATATTAATATTCACAATTTGGAGGACTCCGTTGCTGAGCCACAGCAACGCGTGGCCGGGTACAGCTAGTCTTACAACTAGTATACAGCTTATAAATATCTGTGATAAATATAAAATTTATATCTCCAAAAATATATTGTCATAATATTTTGTTAATGTTTTCCTCAGATATTTTAGTTTTGTGTTTGACAGGTGTGAGTGTGGGAGGGAGGTGGAGACGGCGGAGAGGGCTGCCAGGCACCTTCCTCACCTCATGGCTGAACTGGACCCGGCCTCTAACAGGTGCAGTATCTCTCTCTTAGGAGACAGTTAGTGTCCGATTTGTTGATTTATTGTTAATAATTAAGGCAGTAAAGGAGGGACAGTGGAAACGTCTTTGACGCACAATTGTGAGACCTAGGTTCGATTCCCGACCGGGGCAGAAACAAATTTTCAGTTTTCTTTCATCTCGTGCACCTATTCACCTAATATATCAATGTTGGCATTTGATGCAAAACTAATGAGAATCATCACGTCAGAGTTAGATTGTGATACATTGCAAGAGTATTTGGACACACTCAAAAAGTGGTCTGAAAAATAGCTGCTAGAATTTCATCCAGCCAAATACAAAGTTACGAGGATTGGAATAGGAGTGTGAAGATGAGTACAGCAATATAGGATGAAGAGAAGACAAATTCCTGAATCAGAAATGGAGAAAGACCCGGGAGTGGACATAACCTCAAATCTGATGCCAGAAGCCCACATTAGCAGAATAACAACAGCCGCATATGCCATGCTGGCAAACATCCGGGTATCCGTCACAAACTTGGACAAAGGAGCAATTTTTTTTTCTACCACAGACGTGGCCACACATTTACAATGCTAACCAGCATATATACATTTTCTTCTGTCTTCTTCTGACAAAGGCGCATTCCGAGGGCCCTATATACAGCGAAGGGGAGACTCACTCTGGGATATGCATTCCCAGCATGGAACCCTTACTTGAAATAGGACAAGTAGAAACTAGAAAAAGTCCAAAGATATACTCTCGACACAGAGCTGAGTGGATTGAGCTATGAGGAAAGACTGAGAGCATTGGACCTTACCGCGATGGAGGAAAGGTGAAACAGGGGAAGACATGATAACAAAATATAATATTCTAAGGGAAACTGACAAAGTAGACAAAGCAGCGTTGTTCAAAGCTAGCAACAGCAGATCGAGGGATCCTAGATGGAAACTATAGACATAAATTTGTTTATTTATTTATTTATGTATTTATTTATTTATTTATTTATTTATTTATTTATTTACAAGAAGATACAATGGCTTTGTGAGAGTACATAATATTGGTGTTTTTACATGAGTCATAAAGACATCAAAAAGATCTTTTTCAGTGTTTGAGTTGACAATAAATGGAATAGGTTAGACGTAGAAGTCGTTGAAGCTAATTCGATTCAGAGTTTTAAATATAAATATAATAAAAGCGCGAGAAATAAGTCATTGCCTTAATAAAACAACGATTGGAAGGCGGAACTAGCCGCCTAGCTCGACCCTGCAAGCACATTTAGTGCAATCCATCCTCCGAATTGACAGTACGGTTTAATACTAAGTGTAATAAGTACATTGCCTGACTGTCATACATAGTACATAGTTACACTTATGGGGCTGTTACGTTTACCTCCCCATTTATTCTCCTCGTTTTCTGTTAAGACACTCAGAATTTTATTTTGAAGTTTTCAAATTTAATTTGCTATACACAAGTTGAATATATCAGGAATTTCTTTTTCAGTTTTATTAAACAATAGAGATTTTATACAAAATTTGAAAATATCCTGAGTTACTTTACAAACTGTTGATATCTTTTAGTTTTGTTTTATTAGTTTTATAAAACTGTAATATCAATATAGCTATAGGTTAAGTACTAATTGTAATTAAGAAGCAATAACATGCTTATATTCAAACACTAAGACGGTTAGATTAGGTCGTGGTTTTCTATTCAGCTTTTCAGGTAAATTCAAATATTCACAATTTATTTGACAGTACGGTTTAATATTAAGGGAATATAAGTACAATTCCTGACTGCTATGAATAGTACATAATTGCACTTACTAGTGCTGTTACATTTACCTCCCCATTTTTGGAGGACGGGCTGAACTTCACTTAGATAATTACACACACACACACACACACACACACACACACACACACACACACACACACACACACACACACACACACACACACACACACACACACACACACACACACACACACACACCTAGATGTGCTTGCAGGGTCGAGCCAGGCTCCTAGACCCGCCTTCCAATCGTTATTACATTAATGCAATGACTTATTTCTCACGCTGTTTTCATATTTACATTTAAAACTCTGAATCGAATTAGCTTGACCTCACGGCACCTGCCATAGGTAATGCCAGACTGGAATAAGTTTATAATTACTTCGGTGTATCTCAAGACGAACCCTTTTGTGGCGTCAGGACGGCGGAAGAGGCCGCGGAGGCGTGGCACCCGTCCCTGGCGGTGAAGTTCCTGGTGGCGCAGGAGAACAGGGGCTCCCGCTGCCACGTCACCCCGGGGCTCTTCTCCGTCAGGCACTCCAACCTCTACTGGCAGGAGGCACTCGTCTCATCCACCACCTTCCTTATCTACGGTGCCTACTACGACCCCAGGGATCACCACGGTGAGTCGTGACACGGCGGTAGGAGAGAGGGAGAGAGAGAGAGAGAGGGAGAGAGAGAGAGAGAGAGAGAGAGAGAGAGAGAGAGAGAGAGAGAGAGAGAGAGAGAGAGAGAGAGAGAGAGAGAGAGAGAGAGAGAGAGAGAGAGAGAGAGAGAGAGAGAGAGAGAGAGAGAGAGAGAGAGAGAGAGAGAGAGAGAGAGAGAGAGAGAGAGAGAGAGAGAGAGAGAGAGAGAGAGAGAGAGAGAGAGAGAGAGAGAGAGAGAGAGAGAGAGAGAGAGAGAGAGAGAGAGAGAGAGAGAGAGAGAGAGAGAGAGAGAGAGAGAGAGAGAGGAGAGAGAGAGAGAGAGAGAGAGAGAGAGAGAGAGAGAGAGAGAGAGAGAGAGAGAGAGAGAGAGAGAGAGAGAGAGAGAGAGAGAGAGAGAGAGAGAGAGAGAGAGAGAGAGAGAGAGAGAGAGAGAGAGAGGGAGGGAGAAGGAGTGTGGGAAGGAGAGAGAAAGAGAGAAAGAGAGGGGGGGGGGGTATGCTGGAATAGTCTTAGGGTGATATTATTCAAACACTAACAAGAAAGACCCACACATTAAAGGTGACAAGCACCGCCATGATGACACTAGCCCAATAATAGAACATTTCAAGCCTCTTCAAGACAGCAGGAAAACTCACTAGGAACAGGTTCATTCAAACCTCTGTAAACACAACCTTTGTTTGAGATTTCTGTCTTGAGTGACCGAGCACGTTCCCTTGTTTCTCATCCCATGACTCGACCTGTCTCGACTGTCGTTTATGTGGTCATCAACATCCTTGAGGCGTCGGGGATTTCCTGGCATGTAAGACGCCAACGATCTCAAGACTCCCTCTGGACCCAACTTCGTAAACACCCAGAAAATGGAGTCATTACTCAAGTGGTTCAGCCATCAGCAAACTTACTCTCGCTCTGCCTTCTGCATAGACAGAGGGTAGAGATCATTCATCCCTCGTCTCGCACGTGTCAGGAACACGTTCTCACAATAATGAGAGTTCAAGTAATCGTCAATTAAACAAATGAGAACTCTTGCCCAGAGATCTGGCTCCAACTTTACCCTAAAGTTTACACTAAACAAATTAAGTAACCCAATAAATCATCCTGTAAGATCATGCCTTAAGACGAGGTAAAGTTCGATAATAGTTATTAACTTCTTTAATGCAAGAAGAATGTTAACATTGTTTTGTAGCCCATCACACGTTAGTTAATCAGAATAGTACGACAGCGGTAACCATCCTCCGTCTCCTGCCCAGCAGAAGGGCCGCTGGTGAGAGTGTTAGTGATGGTGGAGGAGCCCTGGCCGCCCACACCCACCTGTCACCTCTGGTACTCCACCGACGCAGTACCCACAGCCACCAAGGCCATACGCATGGGTAAGTGTGTATTCATCTATATGTATTCACCTATTTGTGTCTGCAGAATCGAGCATCGGCTTTTGGATCCAGCCTTTCTCGCCTTAGGTTGTTTAAAGCAATGACTCCTGTCCTTCTTCTCTATCATATCTAATTTTAAGGCTATGAATAGTGTTTGCTTCCACAATGTGATCATTCAATTTTCCCACTACTCTCATGCTAAAAGAAAACTTTCTAACATCTCTATGACTCATTTAAGTTTCCACCTTCAACCCATGTCCCCTTGTTCTGTTGGTATTCCGTGTGAACATTTCGTCTATTTCCACTGTCAATCCACCAATCCAATATTTTGCATATTGCTATTATATCTCCTCCCTTCCTCCCTCTTTGTTTTAGCGACGTCAGGTTGTTCCTTCAGTCGCTCTTCATATTCCATCCCTCGTAACTCTGGGACGAGCCTCGTCGCAAATTTCTGAACCTTTTCCAGTTTCCAAATGTGTTTCTTCAGTTGACAGCTCCATGCTGAGGTTGCATACTCTAAGACTGGTCTAACGTAGGCAGTATAACGCATTCTAAATGCCGCCTTACTTAGGTTTCTGAATGTCGTTCTAACTTTTGCTAGCGTAGAGTACGTTGCTGTCGTTATCTAATTTATGTGCCTCAGGAGTTAGATTTGGTGTTACGTACAGTCCCAGGTCCCTTTCTCGAATCGTCACAGGTAGGTAGTTTCCTTGCACTGTGTACTGGCCCTTTGGTCTCCTGTTACCTAGTCCTATTTCCATAATCTGACCTAAGCCATTTCTCGAACCATCTCTGCAGCTTGTTCAAGTCCTCTTGGAGAATCCTACATTCCTCATCTGTCACAACTCGTCTCATTAATTACGCATCATCCGCAAACATCGACATATAGGCCTTGACTCCTGCTGAAATGTCGTTCACGTATATCAGAAATAGAACTGATCCCAGTACCGACCCTTGAGGTACGCCAATTGTTTTGATTCGTCAGTCTGACTTTTCGCCCCTGACTGTTACTCTCTGACTCCTACCTGATACTCAGTTCCTTACCCAAGCGAGAGCTTTTCCGCTTACTCCCGCCTGCTTCTTAAGATTGAAGAGCAGTCTCCTGTGTGGTACTGTATCAAAGTACTGTACAGTCTCCGTGGTGTAGTGGTAAGACACTCGCCTGGCGTTCCGCGAGCGCTATGTCATGGGTTCGTATCCTGGCCGGGGAGGGTTTACTGGGTGCAATTCCTTAACTGTAGCCTCTGTTTAACGCAACAGTAAAATGTGTACTTGGATGAAAAAACGATTCTTCGCGGTAGGGGATCGTATTCCAGGGACCATAGGATTAAGAACTTTCCCGAAACGCTACGCGTACTAGTGGCTGTACAAGAATGTAACAACTCTTGTATATATCTCAAAAAAAAGAAAAAAAAAAAAAAAAAAAAAAAAAAAAAAAAAACTTTTTGGCAGTCCAGCGATATACAGTTTCCCCATCCTTCACTGTCCTGCCTTATTCTTGTTACTTTATCGTAGAAATTTCAGAAGGCTCATTAGGCATGATTTCCCTTTGCTGAACCTATGTTTGTGTTTGTTTATATACCTAATTTTCTCTAAGTTTGTAACCAGTTTTAACCTGATTATTCTTTCAAGTACTTGGCAGGGGGATGCTTATCAGTGCTTCTTGTCTATAGTTAAATCCCTCCTCCCTATCCCCTTTCTTGAAAATGGGTACCACAGTTGCCTTCTACCAGGAACTGGGCAACTCTCCCTTCGTAAATGACTCATTATAGATCCTAGCTTGGGGCACACTAAGGACCTGCGCTGCCTCTTTTAGTATCCACAGTGATACATTTTCTGTCCCAACTGCTTTAGTTTCATCCAGTGTTGTTAACTTTTTCATTTCCTTCTCTTCTGTCACGTCTGTATCTGATAGTTATTTCATCTTTCATTTGATCATTCTCTTCTAACAATGGGAGCTGCTCAGGCTCGGAATTCGTTCCTTTCTCTGTTGCATATAATCCTGTTTTCCTCTGTCCTTTTGTACTTTCTCCACTCCCTCCTGCTTCACAATTTTGCTTCCTGACACTGCCTATCAAACCCTGGGTTATTATATTCCCTCTTACTTTTTTTCTTTATTGTTGGTATAAAACTCTCATAGGCCTCCTTGTATTTCCACTTGACTAGGTCTATCATATTTTGCCCTGTTTTTCCTCTTAGCTCTTCCTCCCACTGCACTTGCAGATATTCCCTTATCCTCCTGTAACTCCTTTCCTATAGTCTACTCTCCTTTTCCAGACCTCTTGCCCCGTGGTCACAATGTTAAACTCGATCATGTAGTCAAAGACTAGGACACAATGGTCACTGGCTCCTAGTGGTATTTAATGTTCCATATTCGTAATGTCTTCTTCATTCTGAGTGAAAATCGGGTCTAATAGGTTCGGTGTATCCTATCCTCTTTACCTTGTGTCTTCCTTCATATGTTGCGCTTGCGAGGTTGAGCTTCGGCTCTCTGGTGCCGCCTCTCGACTGTCAATCAACAGGTGTACAGATTCAAGAGCCTACTGGGCTCTATCAAATCTACAATTGAAACTGTGTAAGGAGTCCGCCTCCACACACAGTGTGTGTGTGTGAGTGTGTGTGTGTGTGTGTGTGTGTGTGTGTGTGTGTGTGTGTGTGTGTGTGTGTGTGTGTGTGTGTGTGTGTGTGTGTGTGTGTGTGTGTGTGTGCGTGTGTGTGAGAGAGAGACAAAGATATATATATATATATATATATATATATATATATATATATATATATATATATATATATATATATATATATATATATATATAATAATAATAATAATAATAGGTATATGGATATATTGGTTACAAGCTACCTGAGCACTGGAGAGTGACTGCCGTCTCACTCGCTCCTTCCACCAGATTATATCCACTGGCAAGAGCCCCTCGCAGGACATTGGATGCCTTACCTTGTGACTTGTCGCGCCAGGAGTGACTCCAAGGGCATGCCGGAGGTGGTGTCCCTGGTGTCTCACGCCTGCGACCAGTCCACCAACGCCCTCAGGGTCTACCACCACCAGCAGCAACAGCAGCAGCAACAACAGGAGCACCAGCAGGAGTCAGGAGAAGAGCAAGAGGAAGAACAAGCCGAGTCGTCAACAGGAGAAAAGAAGGATCTCGCCCTGTGCCATAAATTCATCTTTAACCCCAGCAAGGACTTCTCCAAGAGGTGGGTGGTGGAGCCTTCAAGATGCGGGTGCGGTGTCGGTGTCAATGGAGGGAGAAGTGGAGTGTGTATAGAAGGGGAGTTTTGTTGTAGACAGAGTTTTACTGTAAACGAATGGAGTTTTGTTCTAAAGAGGTAGAGTTCGGTTGTAGACTATTTTCAGTTTAGGCACTGGTGGCTTTACTATGTCTTGAGGTTTATAAACTTTAAGTCCAATGTCTGTGTGTAACTTAGGCCTATGAATTAACAAGAAACATATTACGGAATAATATATATATATATATATATATATATATTATATATATATATATATATATATATATATATATATATATATATATATATACAAACAAGCCTGAATGGTCCCCAGGCATACATGCAACCGAAAACTCACACCCCAGAAGTGACTCGAACCCATATTACCAGGAGCTCTTTACATCTGGCGCACAGGACACCTTCACCACTCGACCATCACGACCGTTCAAAAGATGATGGTAGCTGAAGCTATTTACCCTACCATCCCGACGGCACTCTGATGGTAATCTTGGGCATAGTATTTTATCAAATCACCTCATTCTTTGCGGCAACACGTGAGAAACACAAGACTTGTTTGCATTCACGTGTTTCTCACGTGTTGTCCCAAAGAATGAGGTGATTTGATAAAATACTATGCCCAAAATTTCCATCAGAGCGCCGTCGGGATGGTAGGGTAAATAGCTTCGGCTGCCATCATCTTTTGAACGGTCGTGATGGTCGAGTGGTGAAGGTGTCCTGTACGCCACATGCAAAGTGCTCCTGGCAGTATGGGTTCGAGTCACTTCTGGGGTGTGAGTTTTCGGTTGCATGTATGCCTGGGGACCATTCAGGCTTCCTTTCCTTTCCTGCAGGGTGATGCATGAAAAGAAGAGTGACATAATGCACATAAAGGCTCCTCAATCTTCCAAGATAGGGCGAGATTTCCTGATTCAGTATCAGTTTACCACCTTCTTCCACCCTGCCTATCAAGGAGCATTCTGTCCTAGATGGTGGAATAACGGTTTCGTTTTGTAGAGATCAGAGTTCGAATCCCTACTGATCAAAATTAATAAAATGTTATGTTATCCCCATGTTTACGTCGAGACTGCTAATAGGCTCATCGAAGTTCCCAATGGGGAAGATGAGTAGTTTCTCATTGGAACTGCTGGGCATTCAGGAAGCAACGCACAGCAGTCACCTAACTCTCGGGTACCTAGTTACTGATAGGTGAACAGGCACATTAGGGGTCCTTAAGCGTCTCCACCAGCCCGGGAATTGAACTTGCGTCTTATATACATGTATTGTCGAGATGTTGACCCCCATCTTGTGTTGGTCAGACTGGTGGAGTGGCTGGAGGCGGCGCGGGCGTGGGGGGTGGACGAGGTGACCGTCTACGAGGGAGGAAGCGTCCACCCAAACGTCAGCAGCGTCCTGCAACACTATCAGCACCAGGGCTTCCTCCACCTGCTCCCCTGGACCAACCCGGGCTTCCACCCCTCCATACCTCACCTGAACCGTGCCCTCTACGATACCCAGAGGTGAGAGACACCCAGAGACAGACAGACAGACAGACTGACCGAGAGTTGTGTTTTATCAACATCACTATTATGTAGATATTTTTAAAATATGGAGTGTTGCACATAGTCCTTTTTATACTATTGCTGTTTTGTTTTATTATTTTCTACCACAGACGTGGCCACACATTTACAATGCTAACCAGCTTATATACATTTTCTTCTGTCCTCCATGGACAGTGTTAGAGATCTGTTAAACATATAGTTCAGGGATTTATTGAATAATCAACTGCAGAAAGTGATTGTAGTGATTTTAAAATACTAATCTAACGTAAAAACATAAATTACACAGATTTACGTCTGTCCTACATAAACAATGTTCGAGGAGTCTTTTTACAGTGTCATTAATGTACGTTTACAAAGGCGAAATGCAATTCTGACAAGCTAGGGTTCGAGTCTTCTGGTGGGTAAGTGTTCTATAGTTGTTTACCTTTACTTGCGAGTTTAGGCAAGTTAGTGCATAATATATATATATATATATATATATATATATATATATATATATATATATATATATATATATATATATATATATATATATATATATATATATATATATATATATATATATATATATCGTACCTAGTAGCCAGAACGCACTTATATAGTTATATTTATATATTGTCGTAAAAGTGCTTTGTCTTTCTCCACGTTTTTGTTACTTGAATGATCCATTTAGATTTTGGCTTTTTGGAGAAAAATTTAGTTTTAGTTGAATATTGTAGAATTAGTTCCTATTGTTCCTATTGTTGAAAATCTGATCCGCGTCTTGTGTACTTCCTGATGGTGTAATCTTTCTTGACATTGCAGATATGACTTATTCACGATGGAGAACGTGCCCTACACGGACTGCCTTCTGCGCCACATCAACACCCACAGGTATGTGGGCGTGTGGGACATGGATGAGTTTGTGCTACCCACCGCCCACGCCTCCATCCCGGCCATGCTGGACGAGGCCAAAGCCAGGGCAGAGTCCCTGGGCCTTCGACCAACTTCCTACCTCGCCCGCTGCTCCTACTACTTCGATGACCAGTCTGAGGAGCCCTCCGATGATCTACCAGAGTACCTGCACCTGCTGCGCCATGTTACCCGCACCGTCAAGATAACACCTCTCGGAGTTTTCACCAAGTCCCTCCACGACACTTCCAACGCCCTCGCCCTCCACGCCCACTTCGCCCTCTTCAACCTCAATGGTACGGTAGATCGGAATCGCGATCTGTACCATCTTTACCCAGGGAACGAGGCCCATCTTGCACATTACAGGGCCAAGTGCCAAGGTGAGAGCCAGGAGGAGTGTCAGACGGACTTCCGGCCATTCCAGACTCGTGACACCACCATGTGGAGACACCGGCACGCCATCACACGCGCCACCACACAAGTCCTCCTCGCGCTGAGACTTATCCCGCCTTGAAGTGGTTAATTGTGAGGACACGCAGAGGCGACCGTAAATAGCTCTCCAAGATAATGCACAAGAGAGGAAAACAGGTAAATTAAGTCATAAAAGTGCTTCCTTCCTCTAGTGAGATTAAGAAGTCATTCATAGCAAAGCAGAAGAGAATGACAATGTACACCAAGATCCTTGCTTGGGACTTTCCTTATCCCACACTCTTCCGCTTCAACCTTCACATTTCTCAGTACTGATTTTTGTGTTCACAATTAGATTTGGTAATAAATTAACTTAATAAATACCCTAAGGAAATATTTTTATGATCGAAATTTAATAGCTAAACCTCAATTGTGGATATTTGTTAAACTTTGGCTTCTTAACCATGTGAACTTTTAACACTGAGGCTTTTTGGAATACGACCTTAATATCATGTGCTCTCATGATTCCATGACTTTATGGTACATTGAGCTCCTATTGTCTCCTGACCAGGAGCTGCTGTCGACGCGGTAATTAGAGTAACCGGTCCTCAGGATATGTTCATTCCATTCAGCGGCCGACCCCAAAGATGCAGTTATCAGTTTTAGATTATGTTGGCAATTATTTGCATTTGAAGAACTTGGGTGAGTTTCTGTAGCAACCCGTCCTCAGAACAAGTCCGTTCCATCCAGCGGTCGACCCCAGAGACGCATTCATAAATTTTGACATGCTGTTCATTCAAAACAGGAATGTTCTCAAATATAAATTATTATTATTTTATATTACCATATTGTACATATTTAGGCACTGGTTAGGTTACTGGACACTGGCATTGTACAGTAATAATTATTAATTAATTATATTATTATTATTATAATCATTATAATAATAATTGTTGTAATTAATAATCATCACTCTTCCTTCTGGTGGGTCATGAAGGAAGCGGGCCTCGGGTGAAAGAGGGCTGTGACGATCTCTGCCTGGAACCCGTAGGTGCGGGACTCAGACGTCCACCTCCTGGGGCTTGGGCGGCCCAGGCTCTGCTTCAGGAGGCTGGGGTCGTTCTTGCCCTTGATGGGGTGGTTCTTCTCCGGCCCCGACCACGCTGGTCTGCGGGTTTGGAGTCCCTGTACCTTCTTTTAACAACGTCGAGGTCAACTCTGGAGCTGGAGCCCCTAGGGCAGTTCGTCGTTGCCTTCAACTTCGTTCTGACAGTTCCCGCGACGGCGCTGGAACCAATCGTATTAACGTTTACGCCCTCCCATTGGAGACTTTCGGCGCCGTGGAGAAGGGGACCTGCTGCATTGGTGACAGCTTCTCCCCTGGCTCTGCGCCCTAGAGAGGCCACTCCAGACCGGCAACCAGAGCGCAACTCCATAGTCTCCTGAGTCTGATTGATACCTACTGGTGGCATCCAGTACTAACCAAGGAGGTTAGGTTAGGTTAGGTTAGGTGATTAAGTTCTGTTGGTGATTATTTGTATTTGTAGTACGTGGGTGAAGCATTTACAGCGTTGTGCTTCGAACAAAATTCGTCAGTGAAGCACTTGTTCCGGAAGTGTTCGAACGTCATCATTTGTGAGTCGTGTGTAAACCGTTTTTCATTCATAAACAGGGGGTTTGGCGGGTGCATGGCATGAACATTTGGAATGTGTTGATGAGGTCAGGCTGATTAGAGAGGTGAGCTTCGAACAGTGGAAGTGATCGAAACACTGCTCGAGAAAATATGGACTCAGTCAGGGCTATATGGCAACAGAGTACCTTCAAACATTTCTCGAACAACTTAAAATGTTTCATCGTGTGTTGCAAATACAACAGTTCGTCCTCATCAACAAGGCCAAAATGATCATTCCATGCAGTTGCCAAACCCCCTCCTTGTTTATTAATAAAAAAACGCTTTACGCACTACTTACAGCTGATAATGTTCGAACATTTCTCGAGTAATGTGTCTGGCCAAGGAGGAGGTGGCCGGGGAGTGTCTGGCCAAGGAGGAGGTGGCCGGAGAGTGTCTGGCCAAGGAGGAGGTGGCCGGGGAGTGTCTGGCCAAGGAGGAGGGGGCCGGGGAGTGTCTGGCCAAGGAGGAGGTGGCCGGGGAGTGTCTGGCCAAGGAGGAGGTGGCCGGGGAGTGTCTGGCCAAGGAGGAGGTGGCCGGGGAGTGTCTGGCCAAGGAGGAGGTGGCCGGGGAGTGTCTGGCCAAGGAGGAGGTGGCCGGGGAGTGTCTGGCCAAGGAGGAGGGGGCCGGGGAGTGTCTGGCCAAGGAGGAGGTGGCCGGGGAGTGTCTGGCCAAGGAGGAGGTGGCTGGAGAGTGTCTGGCCAAGGAGGAGGTGGCCGGGGAGTGTCTGGCCAAGGAGGAGGGGGCCGGGGAGTGTCTGGCCAAGGAGGAGGTGGCTGGAGAGTGTCTGGCCAAGGAGGAGGTGGCCGGGGAGTGTCTGGCCAAGGAGGAGGTGGCCGGGGAGTGTCTGGCCAAGGAGGAGGTGGCTGGAGAGTGTCTGGCCAAGGAGAAGGTGGCTGGAGAGTGTCTGGCGAAGGAGGAGGTGGCCGGACAGTGTCTGGCCAAGGAGGAGGGGCCGGAGAGTGTCTGGCCAAGGAGGAGGTGGCCCGGGGAGTGTCTGGCCAAGGAGGAGGTGGCTGGAGAGTGTCTGGCCAAGGAGGAGGTGGCCGGAGTGTAA